CAGCAATCCCTCCCCCAGGGCAGCCAACGGCTGTGTGACCAAAGTAAAAAGTTCAGGAGCTTGGTGTCCTTTGCCTAAGGCAGGACAAACCTGAAGAGCAACGCCACCCCAGAGGGACTCATGGATCGGCACAGGGCTGGACTTTATCCAGGACCCCATCCTGGCTCCTCTCCCGCTCCATGTCCTGCATCCCAGCTGTAGGATGATGGACAGAACGAGGACATTTAACACCAAGTACTGAAACGCCACCATCCATTCCCAAGGCTCTTCCCATGTCAAGGGGGCAGTGAAAGCAGCCAAGGCTGGCACATTCGCGTAAGGGCCATCTGAGGGCCACCGAGTCCCTCCTGCACACTGGGCACAGGGAGGCAGTGTCACCTAGAAGAGAACCTGCTTTCCTGCCCAGTGCTGAGTCAGCTCCTCCCACCCGTTCCAGGCCCTGCGGCCATGAAGCCAGGTCTGGACGCGCCGTGTCTCCACCATGCACGACCGTTGCTCGTGACACATTTGTCTCCTACATCAGGTGGAAATCAGAACTCGTCCTGGGGCTCGGAATCAGCCACTTCTTTCCCTTTGCACTTTCCTCCTCCAGCTTTGATTTCCCCTGATGTCCTTTCATCTCTCCTGAAGGGCCCGTTATGGGGCCGGCCTAGTGGCAGAAAGACTCCTCAGGCTCATGCTGAGAGGTCTTGCTCTCTCCTCAGGTCAGATGGACAGATTTGCCTGATGCAGAATGGACTGACTGGCAGGGTTTGGGGTTTTCTTTTCTTCAGTCAACACTGACTATATCGAACCATTTCTCTCTGTCCCCCAGGTGTGGGTGAGAGCTCTAATGGAAACCATGACAGGAGGCGTCCTGTCACCTTTACAGCTGTGAATATGTGCATCGTTACATGTTCTAAAGAGCGCGTCACCTCTAATCAATAAAGTGCTAGCAGTTTTGCACCAGTGAGAATGTAAAGAGAAAGTAACAAGCTGAGTGTGGACGTCACGGGGTCTTAAAAACTCAAGGTCTTACAGAAACTAAAGAACAAGGAGCAGCCTACAGATTTTAAGTCCTACAAGCCTAAATACCAGTCTCCACAGCCCACTTAGACAAAAAATGTTTGGAGTCCTTTTTGTTATTATTATCATTATTAAGGTGGAAAAGGTCTTTGAGGCCAGACAGTGAGTCCACCCTGGGGTCACGCCCAGCTGTGACCGGTCCTATCTTGCTCTGACCTCACACGAGCCACTGCGAGGGGCTGACAGGCTGACAAACACCCTGTGCTCAAGGAAGAGGCCAGGGTGGAGTTCTGTCCACGCAGCAGGGAGCTTTTGGTGGGTGACCAGTTGGACTCAAGCAGACAGAGCTGGTTGTGGGGTGCTGGTTTTGGATTGAGGGGGTTGGTTTTGGTATTTTATGTTGGCTTTTTTCTCTCTTTTCTTTTTAGGTAACATCATCAGTGTGGCTACCTAGCGTGTGTAGTCAGAGTAGCCAGAGGCGAGAGCACAGCACGGCCCCGCGGCCAGCTGTTGAGGGATCCTCATGGCTCAGTGTCGGATCCTGAGGACCATTGACTGGGGTGTCACGGCCAGGTCAGACTGGCCCCCCACCATCTCGGAGACCAAGGTGTCTGTGGACGTCCTGCAGAAGGGAGCCAGAGCCCCTTCAGTAGACCCGAAGTGGAGACAGTGGAGGCTCTGGGCCCGGAACAGAATGTAATCGAGCTGTTCCAGGTGATGGAAACAGAGGACCATGTCTCGCTGGTGATGGAGCACGCAGATGAACAGTAGCTGCTGCACCGTGTCCTGCAGGCTGGAGGGCTGCTGGAGGAGGCGGCCCTGGCACTGTTCAGGCAGGTAACGTGTGCCATACACTACTGCCACCAGCAGGGCATTGTGCACAGACGCCTGAAGCCAGGCAACATCCTGCTGGGTGGCAGAGTAACATCAAGGTCAGAGACTTGGGCTGGGGGACAGGGTCACAGCTGGGCAGAATTTACCCAGGGTGGGCAGCACTCTCCCATTTTGTGCCCTAGAACTCTTCAAGTCCCAAATGTACAATGGCCCCAATGTGGGATCCTCCTGTACTTCCTGGTCATGTGTCCCTCCCATTTATAGGGAGGACCCATTGCCAGGTGCAGAAGCAGGTCCAGAGTAGAAGGTAGAGCCGGTGCAAAGTCTCATCAGTCAATTACTCACCGTGAACCCCACACAGAGGCCCACGTTGGAGCACACCGTGGCTCAGCGAAGGTGAGGAATGCCCACCGCGTGGCTCTAGGGACATGCTGGTCCTCCTTCTGGCCCCACCATCCTGGTCGTCATGTCTGACATGGGTTATGACACACAGGACATCTGCAATTCTTTCCTAAACAGAAAATTCAATGAGACCATGGCCATGAATCTCCTGCTCCAACAACAGACACACCAGGGTTCGGTCCCACTGTCTTAGCTCAACCCAGGCATTTGGAAGCAGCACAGAGAGCAGCTGCCCACCAGGATCCATATGCAGAAGAAAAGTCCTCCATCCCTACCAGCCAGGCTTAGAGTGGGACCACAGCACCCTCTGGTGACATGAGCCAAAACTGGAAGATGATCACTAAGAGGACTGCCACCTCTATTCTAAGACCATGATGCTGCCTGTTGACACAAAAGACCCAAGAGGGGTCTGGGAACAACATGCTCAAATGAGAGATGTGGACAACAGGACAGACACTAACCAAGTAGGTGGGTGTCCACCTGCACGTGTGGGGAATCTAATATAGTTGAACTAGAAGTAGAGAAAAGAACGATGGTTACCAGGCAGAGTGGGACGGGGGAAGGGAAGGGAGGAAGAGGTGTGGATAAAGGGTCAGACAGGAGGCATCACAGAGCAGGGTGACCATGAATATTGTCCCGCATGAATCAAAGTCACTGAATGTCTCCCTGCATTTTAAGCAGATAACAAGAGAACCCAGGGCTCCTTGGATCCTGACGTCATGGCGTGCGGGATCCAGGAGGTGTGACTGAAACACCTGCAGGAGGGGCCTGGCAGGAAATTGATGCTGCTGTCAGCACCCACCCAGAGGACTCGCCCAGCCTCAGAAGGGGTGGTGTGCAAAGGGCCACAGACAAGAGGGCATCCAGCATCTCTTATATCCTATTCTCTGGGTGCCCAGATTGCTTGGAGACGAGAGGCCCCTCCGCCCCCCACCTGGGGAAACATCAGACACTGTTTTCCTGGACACATCTTCCCTGTACTGATGAATTTCTGTTTCTCAAAGGTCTTATAATAAACTGATTTTCCTGAAGGATGATCACAGGTCTTCTGCTATCCTCTATCCCCCACATGGCTGCTCTTGTACTGACAGTGCCCACTGCCTGTGGCTTCCCTGGACATCAGGTCCACATTCCTGGCACCCTAACTTCCCAGGTCTCCATGGGAGACCGGCTTCACACATTGCCCTCTCGGGGACTGCTTGCAGAGACTCCACCTCCGCCCGCACTGCTGTGAAGTCTCGGTGGAAGCCTCTGTGACCTCGCACCTTCTGAACTCTGCAGGCCTGCAGACCAGCATCATGTGTCTGTTGTCAATGTCGCCACCGACACGAACTGTGGGGCTGGGTCCGCTTGAGCCTCAGCTTCTGCAGCCTCTGAGTGCCCAGACGCTGACCACGGGTAATGAGTCCCAGGAGCTAATTCCGTAGGTGGCCTGGGCAAGCAGGGACCCTCAGGGCTGTCTTCTCAACGCCTCTGTAAGCAGTTCACACCTTTACACCCTTGAGGCTGCGCTCAGTGGGGTCTGGCTGATTCCTAAGATGTCCTCATGGCATCTTCCCAATGTCTTGGTGCATTAAACTTGACTTCCTCTTAAAAGCACGAATCTCTTTAGCAACCACCCCATCACTACAACTTTACACCTGTCTCTTTCCTGGCCAAAAGACACATTTTCTTTGACTTTTGCTCCTAATTCTCATGTATTTGTGGCTAAGAGCAGCCATCAGTATCCACACCACAGCCAGAATGCTGCACTGCCTTGACTCTTCCTCCATCAGATGAACTAGTTCTCCTCCTACAAACTCAGCCTCACGCACAGTCTCAGGGAATGGACAAAATGTGGGCATGTTCTTTGCCAGGTTGTAAAACAAATGGTCAGTAGTGCAGTTCCCAATGGAGTCCTGGTCCCCATCTAAACCCTCTAGCAGAACTTTACTGCCAGCATTCCCATCAGCCTTCTGCCCTCCTGAGTCCACACTAGAATTGTCTTTCGCTCCACTCGGAGAGTTCTAGGGCTTCTTCTCTAGCCACATCTCCAAACCTTTCCCAACTCCTTCCCCAAGCAGTTCCAAAGGCTCTGACCCACATCATCAGGCAGAGTCACAGCACTGCCCCATTTCTATGTACCAACTGTCTGTGGCCCTTAGCTTTCCAGTGAATCAACTGACGAGGGAAGGTCATGCCGGCTCACAGTTTCAGAGGATTAAGCCCATGATCAGCGGGCTGCATTGACGACAGGCTGTGCTGAGCAGAACAGTACGGCAGGGAGCCCGTGGTAGGGCAAAGCCCTCACCTCATGGCAGCCCAGAAGCTATGAGAAAGCTTGCTCTTATAATCCAGCCCCTCCCCAATATCCACTAGGCTAGGAATCCATAAAATGCCTGAGGTCAGAGCATTTGTGATCCAGCCAACTTTGGCCACAGCTGCACTGGGGACCAAACCTTCATCACATGAAACTTTAAGGGATATTTAGACACAAGCCAGCTGGCAGTGGTGACACAGGCCTATAATCTCAGCTCCTGGGAGGCTAAAGCAGAAAGATCATGAGTTCAAGCACAGCAAGACCTTGGATCAATAAAATAATGAGATCCATAGCATGGCCATACCAGGCAGGGCTGGACCTCTGTTAACAGCCACTGCTCCACCTAGACCACAAACACCCCTTGAAAAAAGCTGAGGAGAAAGGATGAATGCACGCGGGAGGTTGGCCGTGCACATCACAGGTGTTGTGACTCTGTAACGAGCCAAAACAATGCACTCTGAGCACCTGCCCCATCCCAGGCTCTGAAATACGTACCCTATGTGTGCTTTCATGACTGACACTCATACAAATGTGGAAACGGAGGCACAGAGAGGTAGAAGCTTAACAAAAGGTCACACAGCAGGTAGGATTCAGACCAGACTGGAGCTGACTGACGGTGGACAGGGGTGCAAAGCCATTGCTCCCACTGTGGCCTCTCAGCTGCCCCAAATCCTCTTTTTAGGAATCTGGGCACTCATGGTGGGAACCCAGAGTTCTGGCCCAATCTCTTGTGTGATCCCCATTCAGCATCACTGGTTTTGCTGGGCAGTTAGGTGCAGTCACATTCCAGATGACAAGGTAGTCCAGGGACGTCATCTCAGTTGCTGGAGGAACACAAAGGTGTCCAGTGTGGCTGCAGTGGTAGGGCAGGAGGTAAGGGGAAGGAACAAGGAAGGGGACAGAGTGATGAGTCAGGGGCAGGAGCAGGTCCTGCAGGGCCTGTGCCATGGGAAGGACATTGGGTTACCTGTGGTTGAGCTGGCAAGACTCAGAGGTGCCCATCTGGCCTCTGGGTAAAATCAACCACCAGGTGACCAGTGGGGAGGCTGCAGGTTAATCCCAGCGGTGGTGGACTGGCCAGGTGTGGTGGGTTGGAGTCAGCCAGGAGTGTGTTGAGACAGTTACTCGTCTTGTCCTGCTCATGACTTTACTTGGTGAGGCTTCTGATGATTTGCACAGGGGAAGTTCGGGATCCCAGAGTTTGCAACATGTCCTAGATCCCAGAAATGTGTGCAGAGCTAGGCTGACTGTTGTGGCTGTGACCAAGGCTGGGCCTTCAGCAAGGGCCATAACTGCCCAGGCTTCCCTCGGGCCTACACAAGCCACCACAGAAACATGGCTCAAAGCAACATGTAGCCTCAAGCTGAGCTGGTTGTCACTGACCAACCACCTCCGGATTTTGACTCTGCTTGTTCTCCTAGTGTCAGCATGTAGTCTCCGTCCTGCCAAGCCCCAGGGTCAGCTGAGACCCAGGACTTCCCCAACTGGCCCTGGGCCTTAGCCCACCCAGGTAGAGGCGATTCTTCAAAGCAGAGTGGAGAACCAGTTCCTTGAAGCAGTGAAGCCATGATGGCGACGCAGCTCAGACAAAGTCCTGCTGGGGGGCTCCCTGCTGTCCTGGCCTTGCCCCGCAAGTATGGATGCTGAGGCGGTGAGACTCAGGCATGGAGGGGAAGCAGCATTGGGCAGTACCATCTCGGCCATATGTTGGGAGGGGAAGGGACTGTCTCAGCCTGGGCAGGTCACATCTTAGGCTTTGCTGGTGGCATGGGAAAAGCAGGTCAGGGTCCTTAGTGTATGGGAAAGTGGTGAGAGAAGTCCCATGCAAGGACACAGTAAGAAAGGTCACAGTGCAGATCACAAGGGTGCCAATGAGCAGATAGCAGAATTCCAGAGCCCTGCTGCTGCTGGATAGCTCCCCCTGGCTTTGCCTGTGTCCGAGGCCAGGACCTGACTCAGTGGAAGGTTTGGGTGAAGGACAGACACTACTGCACTCTGAACCATGGGCTGCAGGTGACCAAGGTCCCAACCCAGAACTCGGGACAGGAAGACAGGTGTGGGTGGAAGGGAGACTCTTGCCTGTTTTCTGCCCAGACAACCCCTCCCTGCCCGGCTGCTACCACCCTGGTCCTGGTTCCACCTGCAGAGAGGCAGTCATGGCACCGAGTCACAGCCTGACCCCAGAGGGCTATGTGCTCTGACTAAAGTGTAAGGAGGAAAAGCTTATCCCTATCGGGGAAAGAGGACACTTGCTTTATTTTAGATGATTTCAAGGACTTAGAATGATAGGCTCTCTCTCCAACAAAAGTAAAACAAAAACTTGATGCTCCATACAGCTCTGGACAGGCAGAAGTGTGGCCTCCACTCTGGGCCACACTGGGGCCACTGGAGAGGGGAGGCCTCCAGGCAGGCGGCGACCATCAGTCCAGGTTGTCCAGGTCCTGCTGTGCCTTCCTCTCCAGCTGTAGAACCTGGAGAGAAAAGCCCATGAGAACCGTATCCAGAGAGAGCCCAAAACTCACCTGCTTAAATGCCCCAACCCACACAAAGCTGGCCACATGTCCCACAGGAAAATGCAGGTTATTGAACCCTATCTGCTCCACACCATGATGGAAGGGGCAGGGAGAGTGGAAAGCCCCAATGTGCCGTGGTGGTGACTACAGGCGGTGGGACAATAGCGTTTGCATCTCTGCCCACCGAGGGTTATGTTCCTGTGAGTGTGTTCTTGGGGCCACTCAGCCTCAAAGCCCCTTCCCGATTGTGGGAATTGCTGCTGAGTGTGTCTCAGTGGAAGTGAGGCCCTGGCCACCTCCTAAAGGAAGTCAGAGGGAAGCACAGTTCCTGCTGTGGGTGACTCCATCCATGCCAGACCCATCACCTGAGGTTCTGCTGTCTCCTGCCTGCTGAGCCAGGGACCAGAGGATGCTGGGGTAGAGCAAGTGGTGAGCAGCCATGCAGGGCCCAGGCCATGGGCTCTATCCACAACTAAGAGCAGACCACTGGCACCCTGGCTGCCTCCCAGCCTTGGCCGTCCCTGCCTGCTTCCTGCTGATGTCCGCTACATCCTGTTTACTCTGCCAGGAAGGTCCTTTCCACTGAAACAATCAAACACGGCCACTTCTCCTGGAAACCAAGAAGCCCACAGACCTGTCTAGCTCACATCAGCCTTCTTCAACCTTGCACAACTGGCACGACACCAAAACCTCTCTGCTGCTTGGCCAGTGACACAGTCTGGGCACTGTAGGGTCCCCGCAGCAGTACTGTGCACTGTACCCCAGAAGCTAACAGCACTGGCCCCAACTCAGCTCTGACAAGTGCAACCACCCCAGACATGGCCTGAAGCTCCATGGGGTGAAGGGCCCCAGAGAGACGCTGCAGGTGGGTGGTGTGCCCTTCCTCCCCCTTCTTGTGCACACCTCTGCTCAGAGCTGCCTATGATGGCTGCTGGCCATGGAGAAGGCGCCTTCCAGCCATCACCTCATGGTCTCAGCTCAACAGAGCACTTCTCAGTTTTCCATATTTAGACATGTCCCTGTGTTGGCTGTCATTTTCTTCCCATCAGAAGTGGCACCAAGGCTGGGGAGGGGCCATGTCTTACCTGCTGTCTGTAGCGATTCCTACCTGGCCATTGAGACGGGGAGGGTGAAGGACCTCAACTTGTCTTTTTATTGACAGTATGAGTCCTTCTTTTATTTTCTTCCGAACTCACTAACTAAGTTAAAAAACCAAAAAAAACCCCCCAAAAAATGGGCCAACAGAGCGGTGTAGAGGGAGGCCTCCCTGCTTATTTGGAAGCCACAGTGTGACTGGCCCCATGTTCACACAGCTGCAAAGTCTCCCTCAGTCCACTCAATGCTGGTAAATATAGCCCAGTCAAAAACAGGACACGGCAAACTCTGATTCACTTATATGGACTTAAGAACTAGTAGAGCCATACGGAAAACAGTTTGGAGGCTCCCCTCAAATTAAAAATAAAACTACCACATGACCCATGATGTGAGTGCATCAAGAGGAATTTAATGAGTGCATCAAAGACACCCACATCACCCTGTCCACTGCAGCCAGGAACCAGAATCAGTCAAAGTGTCCCCTAACTGATGAATGGATAAGGAAAATGTGGTACACCTGTGTGACGGAACACTATCCACCCATGAAAAGGACATTTGTGACAACAAGGATGAACCTCAGGAGAACTGGTTAAATGAAAAAAGTAAGGCACAGAAAGACAAATGCACCACGATCTCACTTGCACCTGGCATCGAAGAGGGGAACTCATAAAACAGAGAAGGTCCCCGAGCCAGGGTTGAGAGGAGGATGAAGGAGACAGGAACACATTCAAGCAATCTATTGTACAGTGCAATAACTACAACTAGTAACAATGGAATCAACATGTAAATACTGCCAAAGAGATGTCCTATTTTGCCTCCTTTCTCCTTTTTCTTTTCTCTATTGCTCCTTCTTTCAGGCTTAATTATATGTATTCTACGTCCTTTCTTTTTTTCAAACCTTGTTGGGGGAGTAATTGGTCCTTCCAACTGTTTTATACATTTAAATATTGATGTGCTCTTGAATTGTTGCTGTTAATTCTGGTTGGTTTCTCCTCTGAGAGTAGGGATTGAAATCCCACGAGAAGGTGCTCCACTAAGAAGACCCCAACAAAAAACAAATGGACATCCATCCTGACTAATGCAAACAGCAATGCAGAAACACAAGACATAGATAGAATAATCGAGGCTGTATGACCCCCCAAAAGTTCACAATGCTCCAGTAACTCAATCCACAGATACCAAAACAGCTGAGATATCAAAGAATTCAAAAGTATACTTTTTAAAATGATCAGTGGCCTCAAAGATGATTCAAACCAACAGATGAAATAAGGAAGTCAATCCAAGACCTGAATAAAAAAGTCAGGAGCATGGATGAGAGGGTTCAGCAAGGATATTGAGATTCTGAAAGAAACAAAACAAAACAAACAAAAAAAACCCACAAATGATGGAAATGAAAGACTCAATAATGGTGGAAGGCATCACCTACAGACTAGACAAAGCAGAAGAAAGAATATCAGGATATGAAGACAAGGTCAAGGAAATTCTACATTCAGGTAGCAATAAAGAAAAAAACCATAAACAAGCATGACCACAGCTTCAAGAACTCTGGGCCCAAACCTAAGAATCCATGGGGCAGAAGGAGGAGCTGAGGTACTAACTGAAGATGTAAGGATGCTTTTTGATGAAATTAGAGCAGAAAATTTCCCAAATCCTGGGAAAGACATGGACATCTAAGTACAGGAGGCATATAAAACCCCAAATAGACTGGAGCAGAAAAGAAATTTTACATGTCAAATTATACTTAAAATGTCAAGTCTAGAGAACAAAGAAAGCTAAGAAAGGATATTAAAAGCTGTGGAAAGATGCCAGCTTACTTACAAAGGCAGCAACATCAGAATTACATCAGACCCCCTCAGCAGGAATTCTAGAAGCCAGGAAAGCATGGAATGACTATTTCAAGCCGCGGGAATAAATAACTACCAACCCAGATTACCATATTCAGTTAAGTTATCCTTTAAAATTGAAGGGGAAATAAAGACCTTCTAAGATAAGTACCAACTAAAGCAAGTCATGACCGCTAAAGCCAGCACTGCAGAAGATACTCAAGGGAATCCTTCACATAGAGGAGGAAGAGACGCAGTCACGAACATGAGAGCTCAGAAAAGAATAAATTTCATGAGAAGAATATATGAACAATTAGGAAAGAATCAATCATGTTTAACCCAATAAACCAGCAACTTCCAGAGATGAATAGGGTGAAAGAAAAAAACAAACAATACCAGAATCAACAGGGGAGAGGGGAACAGAAAAATTATAGGAATCAGCAAAAGCTCTCTCAATAATAATAATAAATGGTCTTTACTCTCCAATTAAAAGATGCAGATTGACTGAATGATTAAAAAACAAGATAGAGCCAGGTGCCAGTGGCTCATGCCTGTAATCCCAGCTACTCAGGAGGCAGAGATCAGGAGGATCACAGTTCAAAGCCAGCCTGGACAAACAGTTCACAAGACCCTATCTCGAAAAAAAAATCACAAAAAAGGGCTGGTGGAGTAGCTCAAGGTAGGCCCTGAGTTCAAACTTCAGTACTGAAAAAAACAAACAAAAACCAAGACAGAACTATTTGTTGTCTACAAGAGACACACCTCACTGGCAAAGACACGCACATGCTGAAAGCAAAAGGGTGGAAAACAATATACCAAACAAACAGAAACTGAAAAGAGGCAGGAACATCCTTCACTTGTATCAGACATCGTCGACCTCAGCTGAAATTAGTCAGAAGACATAAAGAGTGTCACTATACAGCAGTAACAGGGACAATCCATCGAGGAGATACAACACTTGTAAATTTATGTGCACCAAGCATCGGTGCACTCAACCTCATAAGGCAAGACCACTGGACAGAAGAGAACAGACAGGTCCAGAAACAATGATAGTGTGTGACTTCAATACCCCACTGTCATCAATACACAGATCCTCCAGACAAATCAACAGACACTTCAGAGTTTAACTGACCAACACATCAAATGGACTTCACAGTCATCCACAGATCATTCCATCTAATGGTGCAGAAGAAATTCTTCGCAGCATTCAAGGATCTTTCTCCAAAATGGATAATATTCTAGGCCATAAAATAAGTTGTAACAAATGTAAAAAAACAGAAATAATTCCCTGTATCTATTCAAATCACACTAGGATAAAATTAGGAAGAGAAACTACAGAAAGTGCACAAACCCTGGAGACTGGACACTATGCTTTGGAGCCATCGGTGGGTCATTGAGGAAATCAGGCAGGAAATTAGAAAAACCCTATAATCAAATGAAAATGAAAACACTTCTTACCAGAATCTATGGGACACAGCACAGGTGGCACTGAGAAGGAAGTTTATATCCATAAACATCTATCAGACAGATCTTAAATAAATAACCTAACAATGCACTTCAGAGTTTTGGAAAAGGAAAAACAAGCTAACCCTAAAATTAGAAGACAGAAAGAAATAGTAAATAAATAATAAAGACCATGGCAGACATCAGCGAAACAGAGATGAAAAGAACACCACAAACAACTAAGGATCAAAGAGCTGACTCTTTGAAAAGATCAAGAAAAGCAGTAAATCCTTAGCCAAACTAACCAAAATGAAGAAGGAGGGGCCCAAATTAATAAAATTAAAAACGAAAAAGGGAACATTACAACAGATACCAATGGAATCCAGAGGATTGTTAGGAAATATTTTGAGAAGCTATCTTAAAATAAACTGGAAAATTGAGAAGAAATGCATAAATTTCTAGATGCATTGGACCTACATAAGCGGATGAAAATAACATCCACATATTCAAAATGAGATTCAGGGAGTAATAGTCTGCCAACAAAGAAAAGCCAGGACTGGAAGGGTTCACTGATGAATTCTACCCAACACGTAAAGAACTAACACAAGTGTCCCTCAAGCCGTTCCATAAAATAGAAGGGAAGGAACACACCAAACTCATCCTATGAAGCTACTATTACCTTGCTACCAAAACCTGCTAAGGACACAACAAAAGAAAACTATAAGCCAATTTCCTCAATAAATATACACACAAAGATTCTTAATAAAATACTTGGCAGTGAAATTAACGTATTAAAGAGATCATATGTCATAATCAAGTTAATGTCATTCGAGGGATGCAAGGATGATCCAAGATATGCAAATCAATAAACATAATACAGCACAAAAATAGAATCAGGAATAAAAATCACAAGATTATCTCAATAGATGCAGAAAAGGCCTCTGACAAAAATCCAACATCCCTTCATGATGAACGCTCTGAAGAAACTAAGAATAGAAGGAACATACCTCGATGTAATAAAGGTTACATATGAAAAACAAAAATCATACTACATGAGAAAACACAAAAGCATTTCCCCTAAAATCAGGAACTAGACAAGGGTGACCAGTCTCCCCACTCTTATTCAATATACTGCTTGAGTTCTTAGTCAGAGCAATAAGACAAGGGAAAGAAATAAAAGGGGCACAAATAGAAAAGGAAGAAGTCAAATTATCCTTATTTGCAGATGGTATGACCCTGTATTTAAAAGACCCCAAAGATTCCAACAGAAAAATTACTGATAAACACTTTCAACAATATAGCAAGATATAAAATTAACATACAAAAAATCAGTAGCGTTTCTGTATGCCAACAATGAGCAGGTTGACAAAGAAGTCAGGAAAACAATGCCATTCGCAATAGCCTCAAAAAGACAAAAACAAAAACTAGGAATAAACCTAGTGAAGAAGGTGAAAGACTCTATGATGAACACTATAAAACACTAAAGACACTGAGGAAGACATGAGAATATGGGAAGACCTCCCATGACCATGGATCACCAGATTAATATTGTGAAAATGGCCATATTACTGGAAGTGATCTACAGATTGAATGTAATACTCATCAAAATCCCAATGGCATTGTCCATGGAAATTGAAAAAAAATCCAAAAATTTGTATGGAAACACAAAAGACCCCAAATAGCCAAAACAATCCTGAGTGAAAAGAGCAATGCTAGAGATATCACAATACCTGACTTCAAATTATACAGAGCCATAGTAACTAAACAGCATGGACCTGGCACAAAACCAGACACGCAGACCGCTGGAACAGAGGACAGAGATACACAGCTGAGCCATCTGCTTCTTGATAAAGACGCTGAAAACACAGTAGAGCAAGGACAGCCTCTTCAACAAATGGTGCTAGGAAAACTGAATATCCACATGTAGGAGACTGAACCTAGACCCTTGTCTCTCATCCTGTACAAAAATCAATTCAAAATGGATCAAAGACCTTAACATAAAACCTGGAACTTTAAAACTACTGGAGGCAAAAACTAGGGAAATCACTTCAAGACACAGACAGGCAACTATTTCCTGAATAGGACTCTAAAGCTCAGGAAATAAGAGCAAGAATTGACAAATGGGGTGACAGCAAATTAAATGCTTCTGCATGGCAAAAAAACAGAGTGGAGACACAGCTTACAGAATGGGAGAATATATTTGCCAGCAATTCACTTGACAAGGGATTAATATCCAGAATAATTAAAGAGAAAATTCCACACCAAATGTGCAAGTGAATTAAACAGTTTCCAAAAGAAGTACACGTGAAGAAATGTTCAACATCTTTAGTCACAGAGGAAATACAGGTCAAAGTGACACTGCCATTTCACCTCACCCCAGTGACAATGGCCGCCAGCAAGAAAACAAGCAACAGATGCTGGCGAGGATGCGGTAGAAAAAGGAACCCTCGTACACTGTTGGTGGCAACGTAAACCCGTGTAACCACTGCTAAAGTCAGTATGGAGGACCCTCAAAAACACTGAAGACAGAACTACCAGAAGATCCAGCAGTATCGCTCCTGGACATGATATTCTCAAGGGAATGAAAGTCATCACGCAGTAGAGACGTGCGTACACCACGTCTACTGTGGCAAACTGACAATCACCAGGCAACAGGAGCAGCCGAGGTACCCAACGCCAGTGAACGGATAAAGAAAATCCATTCACGATATACACACGATGGAGTGCTATCCAGCCATAAAGGGTGAATTTGTGCATTTGCAGGAAAATGGATGGAAATGGAGACCATAACGTTGTACAAAAATAAGCCAGACTCAGAAAGACAAATGCTTCGGTCTCTCTCATATGCAGAGTCCTGCAGAGACAAACCAACAGACACAAGCCTAAACGGAGGGCTGTTTGTGGGGAGGGGCAGAGGGAGACAAGGGAGGGTGACAGGGTGAATAAGATCAAAAAGTACTGACATGCACGTGTGGAATGGTCATACTGACGTGTTATTTGCGCAATAAATTAACTTTAAAAGTGCTAAGGGAACAGATCTTAAATGTGCCCATCACATACACAAGATAAGTATGGGAAGTAATGTGCACCTTAAGTGGCTGGATTTTGTCATTCCAGAACGCACAGACATCTCAACACGCCATGCTACACAGCACCAGTGCTTACGTAGTTATTGTCAGTTAAAAGTGCTGCTCTTCAGCCACCTGGCTCAGAGCCACGTCACTATTTGGGGAGTGTACTTTCCCACTTTCACTCACTCTCATAAAAAATAAATGAAATCCCACCAAAACCCTTCAAACGCACTTTCTCTTTGCAGAAGCAAGGACAGTAAGACATGGCATGGTGTACATCAAAAGGCTTTGCTCCATGGGCTGGGATGTAGCTCGGTGGTGCAGTGCTTGGCTAGCATGCGTGAGGCCCTGGGTTCGATTCCAGCACCCAAAAAAGAAAAAAGACAAAAAAAAAAAAACTTCTCCCCAAAAAGCTTTGCTCCTCAGGGAAGCAGCTCGTCTGTCCTCCACATGTGCCACGTGGAGAAGGCCGTCTGGCTGACTCACCTTGTTCTCAATGCACTGGAACTGCCAAGGCCAGCCCGTGTTGTACAGGAAGGGCCGCAGGTCAAACCTGTTGTCATCAGGGCTGTAGTTTTCTGCGTGGTAAGCGGGTGTCAGCGTAGTCATCTTGTGTCTGTTCATGGAGTACTTTGAGAAAAACTGCTTCACCTTGTCAGCCACCTGGTGGGCACGGGACACACGGGTTCCAGGTTAGCAGGGCCACAAAGTCCCGAAGCTGATTCTTACTCTGTGAATGATTCTTACACACACGAATGGCCAGTGGGTCCTGCCCACAGCTTCTCTGGTGCAGGAGTGAAGAGCACAGGGCCAAGCTAGAGGCAGCCTGAGCTCAAGACTGCAGAGGCCTGGCTGTAACATCCAGTGCCTTGCTCCAAGAGGCCTGGGTGACCAAGAAGACATACTCAAGTGCCCTCCAAGTAGCTGTGGACCAGAAGAAACACGAGATATTCTGACCCTGAAGTCTCTATGCCCCCTCCAGGGGCAGGGCTGTGCTCGCCATTTTCCCTCATGTGCTGGAGCCCCATGCTGGTGAGGATGGAACTGGAAAGCACAACTGTGTGCAATGTCACCGGGGTCCCACCAACTCACTTGCTCTGGCAAGCCATGTGGCTCGTGCGCAGGTGGCTTTGCCTGGCTGGTCTCTGTCCCTTACCTGCCTTGGGGTACAGATGTCTCTCCACATGTTGAGGAGTTTACAGAACATGCTGTAGGGCCCTGTCTTGGCTATCTTCCTGAGTCGCCCATAGACAGAGAGCTCTGCATACGTCATGCCCATGTCGTCCTGCAAGAGGACAGAGATAAGTCCAGAGACCAGTGGGTTGGAGCTCAGAACTTCTCTGTGGTTGACACCAGAGGCCCAAGAAGCCAGGCTTCCCTGGGGGCCAAGCCTCATTTCCCATCCCTCTTGGGCAACAGGAGGTGTGGCTTAGGGAAATGACTAAGAGCCAGGCGTTTGGTTTTGAGGACTGTGGGTGAAGAGTGGCCCACTGAACGTTCATTCCTGTCTTGCATACAGGTCCTGTGACTGAAACCTTATGTGGGCAAAGGTCTTTGAGGGTGTAGTTAAGTTAGGGATGCGGAGATGGCATGAATCTGGGTACTGGGCAGTCTTAAATTCAAGGACAAGGGTTCTTATGAAGGTCAGAGGAGAGACAAAGGACAGGAGGACGCAGAACAGAGTCAGGTGGGAACAGGATGATATGACCCCAGGCCAGTAACTGCCACGCCTCTGGCAGTCAGAGAGGCAGGAGCACCTCCCCTAGTGCCTTCATGGGACCTTGCCCCACTCCCACAGACTCCTGACTCCATGACCATGGGAGGATCCGTTCCCCTTGTTTTGGTCACATAGCTTGCAGTTGTGTGTGGTGACAGCCACCAAAGACTAACACAGAGGTCACACAAGGCACCACTCTCATCCAGATGGATCCTGTCTCCTGCCCCACTGAACCTACTTCTTTCAAGCATGAGGGCTCAGAGACAAGGGCACAGACTCTCAGAAATATGGGTCACAGTAGAGGCCTGGGGTGCTACCAGCCTGTGATGCAGGTCACAGACGTCTCCAGCTGTGCCCACAAGAGCTGGCTCCCACAGAGGCTCACGTGAGTCTGGTACTCCCACCCATCACCATCGCTCCATTCCCTCCCAGTGTGCATGCTCTGGTGCCACTGCCAGTGAGACCACACACCTGGGCATTGTCACAGCAGCAGGGCCCTGCCTCCATCAGGGCCTGTGACAGGCCCTCCTCTTGCCCTCCATACCCATTAGGCTTTAGCCAGCCAGGCCTCAGCCCCAGCATCACCTCCTCAGGCCCTGTCTGACCTCCACCTGACACCACCTCCATCCCTCTCCATCATGCCTCCAGAGTTGATTTTGTCTGTGACACTCACAGAACCTGGAGCCTTCATGATCACAACCTTCTTGTCTGACCCCTGCAGGTGACTTCCAACATTTCAAGAGCAGTGGTCATGTTTACCTTTTCTACCACAGAGTCCCTAGTCCCTGCCAGTGGCTTTCTCGGTTTCTTTTCATGAAATTGGTCCCTTCAATCCAACAGTGACAGTTGGAGACTCAACACTCCTCTTTCTGTAATAGGTAGAACATGCACACAGAGTCAACAGGGACGCAGAAGATAAATAACACTGTGAACCAGCCAGCACCACAGCCACCTGTCAAACCTTCCACCCAGTAAGTGCAGGACACACCCTCTCAAAGACACAGAGGATGTCCTCTGAACACAGTGCAAGCTGGGAAAAAAAGAGCCTCCATAAACTTTAAAACGCCAAAATCCTAGCAGGGTGCTCTCTGGCCATGATGGAATGAAACCAGAGGTTCAATAGCAGAAGGAAATTTCAGAAATCTAACCAAGAAATCACAGGGGAGTCAGAAAGAATTCTGAGATGGATGAGAATGATGGTACAACACACCACAATGTATGGGATGCATGAAAGCAGGTAAGAGTGGAATTTATAGATGTGAGCATCTACATTAAAAAAGAAGAATGATCTCAAATCAATAACCTCACCCTCCACCTTAAGACACTGAGATATGAAGAGCAAACCAAACCTGCATGGAGCAGAAGTAAGGAAACAATTGAGACAGATGGAAACTACTGAACAAGGTCAACAACAGTTGGCAAGCCATTAGCTGGACTGATGAAGAAAAATGGGACAAGAGTAGATAATGAAAGAGGGACACCCTTGTGTCCTCCCAGAAATGAAAAGTGTCAGAAAGGAATTCTATAAGCAAGTGTACACCAACAAGGCAGATCACTGAGAGGAAATGGCAGATTCCCAGAACAACGTGTGATGATAATTTCAGGTGCAAACAGGTGTAAAGCATTTCTCCTGGGTGGGTGTAGGGGACGTTCCCAGAGGAGATCTGGGTCAGCAGGCTGAGAGCACACCTATCTAGGTGGCATCAGACAGAACAAAAGACAGAGGAAGGTGAATATTCCCTCATATTCATTCTCTCTCCCCCTGCCCCCAGCCCCAGCCTGGAGCTGTATACCCTTCTTCTGTCCAGGGACTGATATCAGAGCTCCAGGCTCTCCGGCCAACTCTGAGAGGTGCACCAGCAGCCCCTGGGTTCCCAGACTTCACTGTGGACTAGAGTCACACTAATGGCTTCCCTGGTTATGAGGCTTTTGAACTTAGACTGAGCTTCACCACAGCTTCTCTAGGTCTCCAGCTCAGAGACCAAAGTAGCCTATGGGACTTCTTGGCCTCTACAACCAGAGAGTCATATCCAATAACAAACCCTATCCTGTGCTATCCAGTCCATACATCTATCCATCTACCTATCTACTATTTATAATCTATCTATCCATCGTCCATCTATCAATCCATTCACCCATCACCTACCTATCTGTCTGCCTGTCTGTCCATCCATCCATCTATCATCAACACATACACTATGGCTCTGCCTCTCTGGAGAGCACTGACTGACAGACACAAAGTCTGTCAGGAGGAAATGTGAACTGGGGTGCAAGGCTGCTCTCACATCCAAACGCTGCAGACAGAGTGATGTCCAACACCTTTTATGGTAAAAAGCAAACAAGAAAATCTGGAAATAGAGGGGAACATAATCAATAGAACAAAAGGCAGCGATGGAAAATCCACGGCTGACATCATACTTAATAGGGAAAGGCTGTAAGCTTTTCCCTTAAAGCAGAAAAGCAGAAATAAGACAAGGATGCCCCTCTTACCACTTCCAATCACCAGTGCCCTACAGGTTCTACCCAGGGAGACTGGGCAGAAGAATTAAATCTGGCATCTGGATTGGAAAGAAGACTTATATCTGTAACTTGCAGATGTTTGACCTTAAGGAACCCACTAAAAAAAATGTTGGAAGTAATAAATGAGTTCAGCAAGGTTGTGGGTTTACAAGATCAATACAAAAATCAATTGTGTTCCTCCACGTTAGCAATGAACAATCTAAAAATGAACTTAAGAAAAAATTCCATTTACAGTAGTAAGGAAAATAATAAAATACATTGAAGTAAGTTTTATAAAAGAAGTACAAACTTATGCCCTGCAAACTAGAAAACACTGTTGAAAAACATTTTTTAAAAAAGGGCTTAAAAATGAGAAGACATCCCAGGTTCATGGATCAGGAGACTCAACATCATTAAGATGGAATATCCCTGATTTATCTACAGGTTTAATACAATCCCAATCAAATTCAAAGCTGAAGGTGTTTTTGTGTGTGTGTGTGTTTGTGTGGAAGAATTGACAAACCAATCTCAAAGAACCCAGAACGGTCAAAAATATTTTAAAACAAAGAAACAAGAAACTGGGGACTCATGCTTCTTGATTTCAAAACTTTCTACAGCATACAGTAGGCAGGATGGCATGGCACTGGCCTAAGAGTGAACACAGACATCAACAGGCAGAATGAAGAGTCAGAAATAAACCCCACATTTACAGCTCACTGATTTTCAAGGATACAAAGGCAAGTCAAGGGGAGAAATGACTATCTTTTAAGCAAATGGCTTTGGAAGACTGGGATAGCCACAGGCACAGGAATGAAGTTGGATCTCCACCTCCCATCATACACAAAAATTAACTTGCTGAGATCACAGAGCTGAATGTAAAAGCTCAACCTCTTGGAAGAAGATACAGGGAAAAATCTTTGCCATCGAAAGCCGGTTGGGGGACTACAGTCACTTCTAGCAACCACTGATCTGCAAACCACAGCCAATGGCCCTGACGGTGAAGTCTAGCGTGACATGGGAAGTGAGTGATTCTCTCTTAGGTCACACTAAGGTACATGAAGAGACCCCCTCACAGTCCAAGAAACCTGCATCCCCCGCTTTCCAACTTCCCTCTCCCTCCCAGCCACCGCATCACTCCTATCACAAGGAGGCCGATCCATGCCACTGGGCCCAGGCCAGGAGTCAGAGCACAGCTCCTCGGGGCAGAAGGGAAGCCAGGAAGTGACCCACCCCTGCCACATAGAGAACACAGAGAAGAGTAGAAGCAAGCACCTGCTGTGATAAAGCCACTGCCATTACCTCATCCGTCTGGGACACTTGTCCATTGGCCAAGGGCTCCAGCTCTGCGGTGGCCGGTGCTGACAAGATGCTGTGGCCAAGACACCCATGGATTAGTCACAAAGGCTACTAACATGCTCTGACCCTTGGCAGAAGATCCCCACACCAACTGCCCAAAGCAGGCTGACCACTGCTGGCAGAGCTAAGCCAAGGCTCCCAGTGCTGGCACCCTGGGCAGAACCATACGGTGCACTGAGGACTCACGCCCTGCAGGATGATGGCTGACAGGGAGGCACTGCATGAAGTCCCTCCTCCTCAGCCCTGTCCCATGGGGCCAGGTGATCCTCCTGGGGACCATGCCATGAACTGCAGAACCCTTCAGAGCATCCCTAGCCTCTGCCTGCTAGCGTCTAGTAATGACAGCTAAATGTGGCTCCACTCAGTGCCCAGTGAGGACAGCAAGGGAAAGACATTCCTGGTAGTAGGAATGACACGGCAAAAGCCTGGGCGAGCTCCAGGCATCAGTGGACTTGGACCTGCTAGGCATCTGTACCGCTCCCTCTGCCTTAAGATGGCAGCAGGAGAGTGACTCAGGCAGGGGAGCATTAGCTGCACATGTGGCCAGAGACAAAGGTCTGTGGAGGTACCTACAGCAGGGGTGGCCATGCTCAGCTGAAGGGCAGGACTGTTTTCACCAGCTATCGGGAGCTAATGGAAGGGGGCTGAGGGAGACAAAGCTGGCCGAGGCTGTGCAACAGAGGTGCTTGGTGGCTCTGGAGCCATGGCCTGGCCCAGCGGGTGCATACTCACCCCTGCAGGGCGGGAAGCTGGAAGCGCTCCACACCGAACTGGACGAAGGCTCTCAGGTCCGTCTTGCTGATCCCGCCTATGGGGTTGATATCCGCACTGGAGCAGTCATACTTGGTCAGGTACCCTAGGAGACTACATGGGAGAAAGAGTGGCGGTTCCCCAGGGCCCACTGAGGGCTGCTGCTTCTGCCAACACTGGACATCTGAGGACTTGCCTCCTCCAGGAGCCCAGAAGTCTGGAAAAGTCCAGCATCTAGAGAAGGCTAGTAGGGTTGGGGCAGACTGCAAAGGGGCAGAAACTGTAGAGGACAGAGGAGGGGCACTGGGCACGGCTAGGGAGATGGCTGGGCCAGGAACACTTGGGAGACACTACGCTGGGTGGAGAGCAGCCTATCTGGAGGTGAAGGCCAGGCTGGCCAGACAATGCCGAGCAACAGAGGACTAGGGGATGGGGTGCTTATGACACAGTCCCCACTCCCTCACCCTCCCTTGGGACAGGGCCACTCTCAGTGACCTCAGGGAGCCTGCCAGGACACTGGCCTCACTTCCTTTGCCTCCTGCTTGGCAGTCTTCAGTCATCCAGCATCCACTGCCTCCAAGGCACCCCCAGCCTTCTTGCTCTGGTCTCACCCTAACCTAACACTACCAAGGACAGCAGTCCCTGAGAGCTTGGCCAGGAACCCCCACTTCCTAACCCAGTCAATCCTATGGCAAATGTGCAGAGAAGTCCCACCTGCCAGGGACTGCACTCCTTTGCTAGGCAGCTGTCAGGCGGGCCTTGGCTGGCATCAGGGAACTTGGGCTGGGCAGGCTTCCACTGTTTCTAGCTGATGAGGGGTTCCATGCCTGCTGTCTGCACAAGCAACATGGTTGGCCTGAAGGCCTGCTTCCCTACGGAATTTGGGGTTTGGCAGGTGCTGGGCAGGAAGCTCCAGCCACAGCTGCTTCATTAACACCCTAAGCACGAGATTAACGAGCAACCCTGGAGGACTGCCCTTCACGCCCACTGTCACCACTCCTTTTGGAGTGAGGCCTCTCCTGTGGGATGCCACTGGTCACAGGCTCTGCAAGTCTGCACCACGCTTCTCTGGACTCATCCACGCCTCTGCCTTTTGTCAGTCCTTCCACTGGATGGGCCACAGCCACAGCCCTGAGTCCTCCCAGTGAACCATCGACACTGGGGCGACAACCACGCCCAAGACCCTACAGGCACCTGCCCAAGTCCCTTGTTGACACTTACGTGTCTCCTCTGCATGTCCTAACTTGCTTCTTCTCTCTGCCACACTCACTTATTCCACACACACACCCCAGCAGCTGAGCCAGCGACAGAGGACAGAGGGAGCCCCACTCCAGGGGTTGCTTGATGACCACAGTTCCCCCATCTGTTATCCTCCGCCTGTTGCCAGGAGGCATCTCTCCCTTCCCCCACAATAACATGGCCTCTCACCAGTTCCCCCAGCTGGTGATTCTGCTTCTTTCTTCACTGAGGAGAAAAGGGCACTCAGAAAAGAGCAGCCTCACTCCTTAGCACCCCATCACTGCTGCCCACTCCCTGGCCTTCCTGTTGTGGCCGTGCTGGCAGGCCCCTTGCCTTGTCTCCCACTCTCCTCTCCTCTCCCGCAATGTCCCACTCTCCTGCATCAGCAAATTTGTTCTTCTCCACTGGCCCTTTTACACCAGCACCTTAAAATAAGAAAACCTTCTCTTGTTCCCATGCTCCCCCACCTCCCCAATGTTTCAAAGTGAAACTTCTAGACGGAGCTGTCTCGAGTCCTCAGACTCTACCACTCCACTCTCTCCTAAACCACCCCAGGTCTTTCAGTCCCTGCGTTGACAGACCAAGCTTTCCCAGGAGACAAGCACTGGCCCTCAGTCCCGAGTGGTCTCAAGCATGGCCGTTCTCTAGCTTCTTTCTCCCTCACCACCTGCAGGCCTTTACAAAGCCGCTTGTCAGCCAGGCCTTCCCCAGCCAACCTGCCCAGGACTGCAAACTCCCAGCTTCCCTACTTCAGCTCTGAGGGAGCTTCACATAATAGACACTTTGAGTTTTGCTGGTACCTGTTTGCTTCTACTCGAGTAAATGGGGGCTGCTTTCTACTTTGCTCACAACACCTGGTACACAACAGGTGGTCAACAAGTACTTGATGAATGAACAAACAGGAATGCAAATGAAGTAAGCTTAGAATTGGAAGCAGTTAAAAAACAGAATTTGGAAGATATATTTTAATAAAGAATCAGCACTATAGAAAATTAGAAACCTGAAATTCTAGCACAGAATATAGAGGAGAAGAAGCCATGGCTACAATGAAGAAGAGGGAGTGAACAGGGCACGACCCAGCATAGGTATGAGACATGCAGCACAAAAAAGGCACAATCAGACGTGGCAAATGTGCCTCTCAACTACAGAGATGTCTACTAGCCCTGAGAAAGGCTTAGCAGTAAAGGCAAGGAAAACAGATGAGTCTCTGACAGATGTCAGAAGAGATGTTTCTTTATTTTCTAAACAGATACCTAGAAACCTGGAAGCTCCCAGGACACATCCCGCCATCAGAAAAACATTTCATCTTTGGTAAAATTTTAAATATCCAAAACAATGGATAAAAGTGTCACACCAACATAATTTTATAATAGGTCAAAGCCTGGTTCACCTGCAAAAGTCAACCAGTCTTCTCAGTCATGTCAGGGCTCAGAACTCACTCCAGCCATCACGCCCCCTTGAAAAATAATGTCCTTGTAAAAGCACTAGAGGCAACAGAAGAGCAATGGAAATTAACAAGCTAGGCCTGGGGAAGGTGAGCATTGTTACCAGAGACAGGGTGTTAATTTCAAATTGTAATAGGGAGATAAAATAGGATGCAAAATTTAAAAAAATATTTAAAAGCAAACACATTTGCAGACTTGCAAGAATGAAGAAAGATCAGCACACTCACATTACAGATACCAGAATGAATGGACAGGTGGATGGACAGATGGATGGATGGATGGGGGGATGGGTGGGTAGGAGGACAGATGGGTAGACAGACAGATGGGTGACAGATGGATGTATGGGAGGTGGATAGATGGATGGATGAATGGGTGGATGTTTGGGTGGCTTACTGATGGGTGATGGGTAGATGGTGGATGGGTGGGTTGATTGATGGATGGACAGACTAATACAAAGACAAATAGATGAATAAATCAGTTTCTGAAATTCCTCATCTAATAAGGAGCAACTAAGAACAGCAAAGAGAGCGGCTGAGAAGCGTGGAGGCTCACCTACGGAGTGGGGATACCAATTCTGGGAAAGAGAAGCTACCAGCCTCCACTGCTGGGCCTGAGGTCTATTTGGATTTTATCTGGAAATAAGAGGGAGTCTCTGGATTTCTTCTATCAAGAAAGGGCTCCCACATACAAAACAAGCCAACATACAAAACAATCTCCTGCTTTGGAGGTGAAAACCACGTGCAAGAAATGGAGCAAGATGCAGTTGGACAGTCTAGAAGAAGGCAAGCCCAGACATGGCCAGCAGGGCTGGAGTCTGGGGGAGCAGCGGGAATGAAGGACAGGATGGATATACCTGCAGAGCAGGGATGGGGAAAGTGGGAAAGCAATGCCCATCCAATCTGTCTTCTGCAGTCCTGAAATTCTGGAGAACCATGTTGCCATGGGTGCCCAACTTCCAGGGGAGACACAGATGACAGGAATCTCCTCCCCGAATATCTGTGCCAATGTTCCAAGGACTGGTTAAACACTGCAGGAATGCCCCTTCCAGTAGCATGTCACTCACAGAGGTTTGGGGTGTCCAGGAGCCCCCACACATACCTCTCATCCACATTGGCAGATCCGAGCACGAGCAGCCCTCCACGGGCACCCCGGGACCAGAGGCTCAGCTGAGCAAACAGGTAGGCGATGACCATTCTGATCCGAGCCTGGACAACACGAGGAAAGGAAGGTGGAGGTCTCCCTGAGAAGGGAACTTGGGACATGACACCTTCTAAGAGGAAGGTCTCCTAGCAACATCACGAAGATGAGAAAGGTAAAATAATTCTGAGGTTTTCTGGCATTCAGGGGGAAAGTCTTGTGGCATTCCCTTCAGTTAGTCCCCCCATTTCCCTGGAGGTAGCCACAAGGGGGGCTTGCTCAGAAGCCTCACTTTTCTCCCTTCACCACTGGCATTTCTGGAGGAGAAAGGCCACCTATGTACAGCAGGGAGGGGACAAAGACATGACACAGGAGTGCCAAGCCCCAGGGTCTTTCTTCTCCCCATTGACAACCAGTACGGAGCTCTACCACAGCAGCCCAGGAGGTGGGGTGGAGTGAGGGCTGCCCCCTGGAGGAAGCCCACGTGCACACACACACTCCTGCACCCACACGTGCTCACATACATACGGACCTCTGCACTCGTGCACTGGTATGTACTCCTGCACACGCTTTGCACTTCTGAGCACTGATACAGTCACACACACTCACGCTTAAAACTCCTGTACATGACGCCTCCTATTTGTCCACTTACACACACATGCACGCACTTGTGCACACACCCACAATGCACACACACAGGGACACACTCAAGTGTTCACACATTCTTATGCACATCCTCACACAGGTGTAACAGACTGTCTACATACATGTGTGTACTCTCACACGCACTCATACACACACTGGCACACACACACAGACCTGCAGCCTCATCACCAGGCTGTGTGGTCAATGTCCCTTACAAGGCCCACAGGCTGCAGTCCTGGCGCCAGCCATCCTAGTCCCAGGCTCCCTGAACCCCTTCCCCTCTCTGGTAGGGATGAAGGCCCAGGCGGGGAGCCAACCTGCACATTCTGCAAGGCCAGGTTTTCCCTGCTGCTTCCTCCATGGACTGCAAACAGAGGGCTCTTCCCCGTCACCAGGCTGAAGATGCCCACCACCGCCTTCACGGCTGTGTCAATGCTGAGATCAATGTGGTAGCTAGAAGGAGAGGGAGGAAATGTGGAGGCAGAGTAAGCATGTGCACACATGTGAGGAGACACAGATGTAAAACCTGCTACCGTAAGCAAGGAAGTGTGTGCGATTCACATTGTTGCACAACCATCACTGCTACTTTTTTCTTATAGCCCAGCCCCACCGAAAGTCACTCCCTGCCCCCGCCTGTCCCCCACCTGACAACCACAAATCTCCTTCCTAAATCTGCAGATCTGTGCGATTGGGCGTTTCACACAGATAGAGTCACAGGCAGGGGCCCTTTGCATTTCACTTACTTCACTCTTCTATTTAGTCCATCAGCTCACGGACGTGTGGCTATTTCCACACCTCGGTCACAGTGAACAGTACTGCCGTGAACACTCCTGTACAAGCAGCTGCTCGAGTCCCTGCTTCACTTTCCCTGGACATCTACCTAGGAGTGGCATTGCTGGAGGGGCAGCTTTTAGCTATGCTCAGCAAATGCAATGAGCAGCCCCAACCTGTCACAGTCGCCTGTCTGTGCTCAGCACCCAGGACTGACTACCTTCCAATCTGTTGGGCCAGCTCTCTGGCCCGGCTGCATGTCTCCTGGGAGGAGTTTTCACTGGCCATGTAGCAAGTGGTCAGTAGGCGTCCACAGAGCTCCCGGGGATCCTGGGGGATGTAGCTGCTCTGGTCCACGATGGCTTGGACATCAGCAAGCACTTCCTGATCTGAAACCCAAGAGAGTGAGTAGAAGGCACTGTGTGCGCATGAAGCAAAGCCCAGTTCATCACCCAGGCACTGAATGGCTGACCACAACCCACTGTCACGTGGCTGGCATCCAGGCACCACACTGCTGACCCTGGCCCCTCATCCAGGCACAGGACAGCTAATCCCAGCCCAGTATCACATAACTGGGGTCCAGGCACCACTCTGCTGACCCCAGCTCTACAGCCCGGTCAGATGAGCATCCTCAGTGTACTGCTCTGAGCACACCCTAAAGCTATATATGTTCAATGTCACTGGACACGGGGCAGGGCAGGGATTTAATGAGCTTGTCTGGCCCCAAGGCCTGTGTTCTTTCCACTGGGCCACACTGCTACTGACTGTAGGCAGACTGGCTCTGTAGACAAACTATATCAGCTACAAGGCCAGTAAGGGCTACACTGGCCCTTGATATCGGTGCACAGCCACAAAGCCTCCCTTGGCCATGATGCCTACAACCAGGGTTTCTCCTCTGACCCTCCTCAGCTCTCTACCCACCCTGGAGCATCCTCAGGTCAGTGGATGTCACATCACCTACTTCCACTTGTCACGGCCTCGCAGACCTGCCAGCACATGGAATAGACGATGCAGGCGGTTGCCGCACTGTCCACACCGCCACTCAGGGGCAGGAAGAACCCGGCCTGGAACAGGGTGAGCAGAGCTTCAGAGAAGCAATGTGCCCCAAACTCAGCCCAGCAGGCCCCATGGCAATGCTCTGGGAGTCAGCACCAACCCTGGAGGTCAGAAAAAATCTCCACATATGCCAGGCACCATGTGTCTAGAGAGAGATGAGACACCTGCTCGGGTCTGTCTAAGGCTGACTCGCCAATGAATAACAGACACACAGGATCAACTACAGGAAGATGGTGAGCTTGGCACACCTAGACTGTACACAAAGCTGCCACCGACAGTGCCAAAGTGGCCATGCCCATCAGGCCTCTGCCCAGTGCAGGTAAGCTCTCCCCAAGATGGAGGCAGGACAGTGATGTCTTTAAAAAAAAAAAGGCCACTGGCTTGTCCTCTGGACAACCAGTAGCACAAGCAAGGTGTGCTGGCTAGGAATGGGACATCTCACCTGGTGGCTTCGTCTCAGAAAGTCCCAGAGCCAGCAGGCAGGTCCAAGGCTGCAAAGTGATCAGAGAATAGAGTCTGGAATGGCTGAGTCTGGCCTACCACACAGGTCCCGCAGCAGCTGCAGGACAGAGACACTGGCCAGCAGAGCCAGGCTCCACAGGCCATGCTGCTGCTGTACGCACTTCCTGCGAATCAGAGCTTGGGGCCAGCACCTCCGTGAGCAAGGTCACAGCACAGGGAGAGAGCCAGGGAGCCCTGGGTCTGGCTCCAGGGGCCAGACCCCGATGAGGAGAGGCCCCTGAAACTGGTGCCCACCCGGGCATGTTCTAAAACTCAAGCTTCCCCCAGCCCAGCGCAGATGCAGACCACAGTCACTGTGGGGAAGGGCAGTGGCCACATGAACACCAGGAGCCTGGGCAGAGGCCGCCCACCTGATCTCCTCCTCAGGTGTGTGGTATCTCCACTGCACAGGCTCAGAGACCAGCTCCAGCAAATCCTCGCCACATGAGAGCGCAAAGTCCACCTTGATCCGGGGGTAGGGGCTCACCCTGCTGGCCTAGGGGTGGGCATCAAGATACACTGAAGTTAGATGTGGTGAATCATGCCTATAATCCCAGTTACTCAGGTGGCACAGATCAAGAGGATCGCAGTTCAAGACAGACCAGGGGTGGATCTGCACACAGTGCTGCAGCCACACAACAGAGTACTACTCAGCCATGAAAAGGACTCAGGGACACACTGCCTCATGGTGGGCCTTGTGGACACCATGCTCAGTGAGGGATGCTGGACATAGGAGAGCACATGCTCTCCTATGTTTCTGCAAAACACCTAGGGACAGGCAGATCCTTACAGACAGGAAGCAGATTGAAGGTCACCAGGGGCAGGGATGGGACAGGGAGTGACTGCTCTCGGGTATGGATTCAGCTTGGGCTGTAGCAATGTTCTCACACTGACTGTGGCAAGGTCACATAACTCCAACAATAGAGCCATCTATGGGGCTGAAACGGCTGCACAGGCTCAGGAATTGTGTCTCGGTAAAGCTGGTAAGAAAACGGCTGTGCAGTGCTGAGCTCCCGACTCGTGCAGTGTTACCGCTGGGTTAGCGTCCCGTGGTGACGGGGGCTCACAGACACAGGGCTCTTGGGCACGCTTGCCCACCCCAGCCTCACCCTGACTTCTTGCTGACGGGGGCGTCTGCTGCCTGCTTGTCCTCCCCATGCTCACTGCCACCCGTGCAGCCTCTACCTACCGTTCCCCCACACTGATCGCCCTTGCTCCAGCTGACTCAAGCAGGTGACACCTGAGGACAGCTGAAGCCTGGGTTCTTTGTGTTTTCCCCACCCCCCACATCAGGGGGCTTCCCTGGTGGTGTTTCACACACGGGTCTAACGAGCCCCCCACACAGGGTCTCTGGGGTTCTCACTGCCAGGTTCCGGGATGAGATCTCTGCCCTGTAGCTCCTGACATCCTCCAGGTCCAATGTGGCAGTCAGAACCTCCTGGAGGGAGAGCAAGGAATCAGGACTGCACAGGTTTGTTTTGTTTTTTTTTTTAACCTCTGTGTCAGTAAGTATCTCCTGGGGGCTTTGGAGAGTTTCTGACTTATTTAAAAGACACATAGAAAGTTAGGGCCCCTTTTCTGCCTCTGAACATGGCTGAATGAAGATAGGATGGTTGGAGCCACTGCAGGCGTCCTGTGACCACAAGAAGAGGTACTCTGAGAATAAAACCAACACAGAGGACGGTGTGTACTCCCTGCCTGTGGTGCAGGTGACATCACCCCGGCTTTGAACCCAGCTGCAGGAGGGAGGGCTGGGGGAAGGGGCGGACACTCTGCTACTTGTAACATGGAGCAGAAAAGACGATATATTTTGTTACATTGCCGTTCCTTGGCAGGACTGGGATTTGAGCTCAGGGTCTTGAGCTTGCTAGGCAGGAACTCTACACCTGCGCCACACCCCCGGCCCTTTTGTTATCCAAATAGGGTCTTGCTAACTTTGGCTAGATAGCCTTCAACCCGTGATCTTCCTAGGTCCACTCCGAGTACCTGGGAGCACAGGTGCACACCACCATGCCTGGCCTGATGTTATTTTTTAATGAGACAATCACATGACTAGAACTTTGTTTCCATAAAGAAACAGTATCAGGGTGGGCTGAGTGGCATGCCCTTATCACAGAGCCAGGCCCAGCACCAGCTCATCCTGGGCTTCAGCTCCACCTACCCCAGAATGATGCACACCAACCCAGCACAGCTGACAGGAGCCAGGCAGCACCTAGCCCTTTGTCACATGGCACCTGCTTCCCTCACGCCCACTGTTCACTGTGCTCCCCCCTTTGAACCTAGCTGCAGCTCGGGGTCCAGGGAGGTGCTAGCGCGGTCATTACCACATCCTCCAGAGAGAACTGTGCCCCCTGGGCGAAGATGCTTCCGTTCATGGCGATCATGGCACAGCCGTCATAGTAGAGACGGTCGCCGTCGCAGCCCTTCTGGTTGGCCAGCAGGTAGATCCCACCATTCTGGAAGAGGCAGAGGCAATAGTGGAGCTGTCAGTGGTGGCCTGTCACCCTTGCCTGCCACCAGCTCCAATACAGGACTCCTGGCCGCACCCACTGCCCTCCCCACGCTGTCTCCCTGCATCTTCTTTTGAGTCCTCACCCCAGCAGTGACAGTGCACAAAGGCAGAGACACAGAGCCCAGCAGTCTCCATTTACATGGACTTCTGGGCACCAGGTGTCCCATGGGACATCCCTTTCCACCTCCCCAGCTCTCAGAACGGCGCTGTTATCTCTCCAACACGACCCAATTCCAAGCAGCCAGAGCTCTGCAAGGTGGAGTTTCAACCCTCGACGTCCACCCTGCCCCGTGAAGGACCGTGGCACTGCCTCCCTCGCACTCACGCAGCCCAGAACACAGCGGCACACAGATCCCTATGTTCCCCACAACACCCACGGATGGGGAATGTTCTGGTTCCCAGTCACAGAGGCATCAATGATGCCTGCTTTGCAAGGTGGCTATGAGGGTCCATGAGGCCATGAAGGGGCCAGCACCACAGCCCTGAATATCCACTGTGTGTGGCCAAGCCCTGACCCAAGCGCCAAGGACTCCAGAGGCACCTAGGCTCCAAATTAAGTCAGGACCTGGGACACATTCTCTGGTGGCCCCACCTGATGCCTACCTTGGTGGTGGCCATGGTCACCAGATCCACCCTGGCCTGGGCTTTGCGCAGCACATGGTGGCTGCTTGAGGCATTGGTGATGATCTCCACGCCATCCAGGCCCATGTCAATGTGCAGGCTGTGAACAGAGGCAGGCAGAGAGCAGACAGCTGGGCCCTCCCCCGATCTCCCGAGGCCCTCCAGTCCTCATGGGGACCCTGCATAGCCCACAGCCACAAGCAAAGGATGTTGGTAAAACCCAGGTCCCCTTGCTGGCCTGGAGAGGAGGGGGACGGGACACTCAAGGAGCTCGGCTGACCTGTGCGGTGTCCAGAGCTCCTCGCAGATCTCGCTCCCAATGCAGGTGTCTCGGGTGGCCAGCACTGCGTCTCCAAATGGCACGGTTTCCTGCAGTTTAAGGAAAAGAGAGCACAAGACTCAATGGCTACTCAGCTGGCCGTGCACTGACCTCACACCCCATATGTGCTAGGGAGACTCCATGACGGCCGTCATGTTGTTCCAAGCCTTACTTTGTGTTGTTCTTCTACCTGACATGTCCAGCCCCAGCTGGCATCTCCTTTGTCCATCCCTAGGGATCTCGAGCGATGACCATGAGCTGTGCTTACTATGGCTGCTACAAACTGTCTCTCAAGGTTTCCACGGGCACAAACTTTCCTTCATCATCACTTTAGCAGATCTCGCTTAAGCCCTCTCTCCACTCTTGGAACGGTATTACCAGGTGGTCTTCTCTTCCCTCTTGCAGAAATGACCTGACTGAAGGGGGTGAGGAGTCACCTAGCTTCCGAGTGGCAGGACTAGGAGCAGAATGCAGGTACACCAGTCTCTACGAGGCAGGTTCATAACCAAGAGCAATGGGACTTCCCAGGCACAGACAGGGCCTCCACCTTGGGGGCACATGAGTCTACTGAGTTACTGAAGCTAATACTGGCTGACAGGGTAGCATCAGGGGACAGAATGGCCTGTTTAACATGTATATTGAGGCTTGGGGTGTGGATCAAGTGGTAGAGTGCCTGCCTCACCAAGCACAAGACCCTGAGTTCAAACTCCAGTACAGCTCTTGCCACAAAAAAATAACGAATTTTAAAATGCATATTGAGCTGGGTGCAGATGGCTCATCTCTGGGAGGGTAAGATAAGAGAGGTCACAGTTTGAGGCCAGCCCAAGCAAAAAGTTACTGAGACTTCATCTCAACCAATAGCTGGGTACAGTTGCACACACCTGTTACCCAAACTACACAGGAGGCTGAGATTGGGAGGACTGTGGTTCCAAGTCAGTATGGGCAAAAAAAAAAAAAAAAAGTTTGTGAGACCCCCATCTGAATGGAAAAAAGCTGAGCACGATGGGTGCATCTGTCATCCCGTGACAATGGGAAGCATAAACAGGAAGATCGTGGTCCAGGCTGGCCTGGGCAAAAAAGCAAGACCCTATATCTAAAATAACCAGAGCGAAAAGGACTGGAGGCATGGCTCAAGTGGTAGAGCGCCTGCCTAGCTAGCACAAAGCCCTGATTTCAAACCCCAGTATAGAAAAAAATAAAATGCATATTGACACCTCTAGAATGTGCTAACTTGAGCTCACCTTGGCCATCTCAAAAACAAGGCTGCACTTGCAGTATTACTTTGCTCAGCCAAGAAATCACACCAGGAGGCCTGGACCACATACCACAGCTCCTGGCTGCAGTTCCCTGACATACAAATTTATCTCTCTTTATCATGATAGGTAGACACTACCATGCAAACTAGGCCTTTCTGCTGCTCCATCTTCTGCCATCAGCAATGCCACCATTCCCTGTGGTTTTGAGGAGAGTCCAGAACCACAGTGCTGGCTGACTGCTGCATGCTGCAGCCCCTGCTCCCAAGCCCTGTGAGATGCTGTCCACATGGCAGAGTTCAGATCCTGACTCCTCCTTGCCATTGGACCAGGGCTCAGAGACACATTGGGGATAACAAAGCACCTGGAACACGGCCTGGAGACTTGTCCACACCACAGCTGCCCCTGCTGGAACCCTGACTGGGCTGCCCATTTCTGAAACCTGGACCTTAGTCCACCTCTGCACAAGCTGACCCCTGCCTATTTGGCCCCTTCCTGTCTCTGTCCTTGCTTCCCAGATAACATGAAGTGGTGGCAGCTGCCTCTGCCACATATTCCCTCCATGATGCAACAGGGCCAAACGACCACCTGTGACACCCCTGGCACTGTGAGCCAGAACCCTCCTGTAGGCTGTTTATCTCAGGTGTTTGCTGCATTGGTGGTCGGCTGACTGACACGCTACCCATGGCAAGGGCTCACTGTTCCCACTCCAGCCATGGATGCAGCTAAGACAGGAACACCAGGGTCCCTTCCCGTGGACTCACAGTGAGATACAACATGTTGCTCTCGTTTTAGACAATGCTTCAAGGGGGACACATCAGCCCCAGGATGGAGGCCATTTTTTACCACATGGAAGACAGGAAGAGCAAAAAGCCAGCAGAAGCGAGGAGAAAGACAGGAGGAGAGGATGCTCACTATAGAAGTCTCCCCTTTGTTTAGTTCCTATGTGCACTAACTATAGAGTTTTCTGGGACTTTATTCAAGAGTTCCCACCCCTCTACCCCTGTGGCCCACCCTTAGCCTGGAGTGGTTAAGGAAATGACTTCCATACCAGGGACTCACCTGCTTTGTCACGTCCTGCAACATCCGAGGGAGAAAATACTCCTCTGTTTGCCTGGGGAGGAAACAAGGCATACCTGAGCCAGGTCGTCCCAGGAGGATGTGAAGAATGGCCTCTGCCACACCAGGGACCTCAAACTGCTAAGTGACCCACTCACGCGATGCCAGAAACTGTCCTTGTGAGGTACAAAGTGTGAAGGACTGAGGCTTGCTACTAGGGGCATCACCGTGTTCCTTCCTATATGTGGGCATCTCCACGGCCCGGTCTCTGACATGCAGCTTTCAGAGACACATCACCCGGATTACTTACAGAGAGGTTAAGTGCCCCAAGGACAGATGGAATTCTCAGTCACTTATTGCATCTGAGAAGTCACGAAGTATTAACCCAACATACAACTAACTCCAGACCCACAGCGCGCGCGAGATACAGCCATGGTGCCCCACATCTCCACAGCACGGGTGCAGGGTTCACACAAGTTTGGCGCAAGGAAGACAGAAGAACTACACTAACAGGTAAGACTGTGAGAGAGAGAGAGAGAGAGAGAGAGAGAGATGGTTCATATCTTTGACTTCAAATAGATTGACACAAGATGCGTCATTCAGTTTTTTGCTCAACTCCACTTCATTTTTGCTTCTTGGAACTCACAAAAGCCTGGTGAGCAGCTTAGCTGGTCTCTTCCACTTAAGCAATGGGCTCAAGGCTGAGAAGCTGAGCAGGCAATGTCTTCTCTCCCTCACTGATTCAGGGAACAGGAAAAAGACGATACCCCGCCACCTCCGCCACCTCCCCACCCCATAATGAGCACTTTACTCACCATCTGGAGGTCTGAGTATGGCCAAGAGTCATCCAAACATTTCCCCCTTCCTCCTCAACTCAGACAAAGACCCACTCAGTGCCGGACCAGAGACAGACCACCAAGAAGCAGCACATGCCCACCTTGCCCTCTGTACCCGCTGCTCCAGGCCAGCACCAAGGCCAGCGCACGCCACGTGGATGGCTAGGGAGTCCAGCACACTTCATCAAAGCTGCAGCATCACGAGCAACAGCCACGTCCACACAATGCCCATGGCCGGCTGGCCAGCCTGCCCTCTGTCTGCGACCTCTCCTGCTGCTCAGGACGCATTCCCTTTCAAGACCACGTGGCATCTTTGCATGGCTCCCCAGAAACCTGTGCCAAAATCCTGGCAGTACACCTCTGCCAAGAAACTGCTGTTGGCCATGCCAGCTGTAAGTCCCTCTGACCCTGGGAGCTGTAAGAGGCCTGGTGTCCCCTATCTAGCTGTGATGACCATGGGTGCTACATTTTGGAGTCCATCTGAGAACACAAGGAAAATGAGTCAACTCCTATGTTCTCTGCAGGCAAGAACTGGGTCTTGGTTTTGTTTTCCTCAAGGATTTTTTTTTTTTTTTTTTTTTTTGCCAGGGGGAACAGTATGGGGTCTGAACTCAGGGTCTTGGGTTTGCTAGGCAAGCACTCTTCCACATGAGCCACCCCCAGCCCTGGTTCTGTTTTCTTACGAGGACTTGAAACAGCACCTCGATCCTGATGCTCTGAGCCAGAATGAACCCGATGTTTATCACTGAAGCAGAGATGTGCTGGCATGGCCATTTTACCTCCAGTGTCACAGCTCCCAGAGCTAAAACCGCCTGCTTTTTCTAGCTGTACCAATAATGTCCTGCAGTGACATTACCAGTCTCAGAGCATCCAGTGACCAGGCATTCATGTGACACATGGGGAAAAAAGAAAAAGGAAGGAATTTGTGCTCTCAAAAGTAAGCTTACAAATTAAGAAAAGAATCAGAAAAACTCAAAAAAGCATAGGTAAGAAAAACAGGAGAGTGGGTCACGGAGGCAGCCGGTGCACAGAAGACAAAGTTAGGGAAAAAGGAAGACAGTGAAGAGGAAGGGGGCAGACAGGGTGTGACATGCCTGTGACTGAGGTCCCCAGAGAAGGAAACAAAGGGAAAAGAACAAAACCCTTTGAAAGTAGTAACAAGGACACTTCCTGAGATAAAGGCTACCAGAGAAAAGGAAGAGAATCACCAGCCAAGGTCAAGGTCATGGCTTCCAGGTGGTGGAGATGTACCACGGGTGACCTCTAAGCAGCAAGAGCTGGCACCCACCGAAGAAAACCAGGCTTCCTCTCAAAGCCCACCACACAGAGGGTGGCAAAGCGCACGTGGAATTAGAGGCTGACATAAACAAAGGTCTTGTGCACACTGCTCGGGGGAAGGAGCCGAGTGCCAGGGGGCCCTGGATGCCTGCGTGGCCCCTGTCTTCTCAGAAGCACTGCATTGCATCTTGCATGTCTCTGCTATACCCACAGCCATGGACTGTCTCACAGACAGCTGTGACTGACCTTGAGCCTGGCATTGGTGGAACCACAACCAATGTCCTGAGACTCACTCCTTGTGCTCAACAGTCTGCTGAGACTCATCTGGGTTGAGGTGGGGTCCACAAGTCCCCCAACCATCTCATCCTGGTAACTGTCCCCTGGTACATGGGGGACAAGAAGAGTGGGTGAGATGGCAGTGAGAACAACTTCACATGTAGTCATGAGACAAGCGACCATGTCACAAGACTCCTCACCACCAAGAGCAGAAGCGAAAAGAAAATGTCCAAAACGAGGAGTTAGAAGCTGGAAAGGCAAATCATTTTAACCTAGAACATGAATCTGCATACACACACATTCACTGACACACTCACACCACATTCCTATTTACTATACATTGAACGTGAGAGTAAAGACATCTGCAGGCAGGCAAAATCTCAAAAAAAAAAAAAATCACCCCACAAATGTTCAGGAAGCTCCTGGAAGCTGTGTCCAGCAAGAGAGTGATTAATGAGAGAGACAGGGAGGGAGGGGGAGAGAGAGAGAGACAGAGAACGATAGGGAGGAAGAGGGAGAGAGAGACAGAGAGGTGTTGATCCTAGGGAGAGGGTGGACGGCCTAGGGATGGCAAAGGGACAGCACAATCCCGGGCCCAACCATGGACTTCCACAAAGTGAATCGTGTCAACATCACTCTGCAACTTCACCACAAAACAGAAACGGCCACAGTAGAATGGTGAGGTGGAGAGAAATTAAAGGCAAGGGCTGTAGGCACCCAAACCCTGTTCTTCCACAGCCAGAACTCAAGAAACACCACATACCCAGGCACCATGGCCAGGAGGTAGAAGCATCTACGCATCTACATGTCCACCAGCAGATGAACAGATGAGTAACACGTGGTCCACACACACGAAATACTATACTTTAACCTTAAAAAGGAAGATGGTGCTTGCTGGGCAGCAGGGGCTCACACCTATAATACTGAATTGGTATTGGGAGGCTGAAATCAAGGAGATCACGGTTTGAGGCCAGTCCAGGCAAAAAGGTCATGAGACCCCATCTCAACCAATACCTGGGAACAGTGGTACATGCCTGCCATCCCAAGCTATGCAGGAGGCTAAGACTGGGAGGATCACAGTTCCAGGCCAGCCCAGGCAAAAAAGTGAGACCCCACCTCAATGGAAATAAAGCTGGGCTTGGTGGCAGAGTGCCTGTCACCCCGGCTACAGCAGAAAGTGTAAATAGGAGGATCGTGATCTGGACCAGCCTGGGCACAAAAGGAGACCTTCATCTCCAAAACAGCCAGAGCAAAAACAGCTGGAGGAGTGGCTACAGCAGTAAAGTGCCTGCCTAGCAAGCACAAAGCCCTGAGTTCAAACCCCCCCCCTCAAAAGCCAGCCGCAAAAAAAGGAAGGAGGAAGATTGTGACGTGCACTACAACATGGATGAACCTAAAGGACATTGTGCTGAGTGAAGTGAGACAAACACAAAAGGACGCACCCTGTGGGATTCTACTGTAGGAATGCTAGAGCAGTCAGATCCACAGAGACGGAGAGTGGGATGGTGAGCCAGGGGCTGGGAGGGCTCTGAGACTCAGTGTGGGCAGATGAGGAAGTCCTGCAGGTGGACAGTGGTGATGGCTGCTCAGCACCATGAAGGTTCTCCAAGCCAACTGAGCTGGGCACTAAAAATGGCGAAGATGGGGAGTTCTATGTCAGGGGTATTTTACACAATAAAAAAAGAAATGGCAACATAAATGAATTAGTTAGAAACAGAGAGGCGAGGCTGGGGGAAAGAGGAAACAAAGCCCTGGAGGTCACTAGGAGTGGCTGGGCCACGAGGGTGGGTGCCCTGAGGGGCTTTAGCTTTTTATTGTCATCCTGCTTCTCATATGGATGACTTTTCAAACTGCATTACTGCACAACAGGACAAACTGTTGGGTGAATGTCAAAAGCACCATGTCACGTGGAAGAAGTTACGGTACCATGGTATGTGGCCCCAATCCTGTGAGGCAAGGTAAGCATGGACAAATGGATGCGGGAGGGTCACCTGGAAAGGCAGATGGGTGACAGAAACGTCACTTCTGCAGGTAGTGCCTGCCCTGATGCTCACGCCATCTCACAATCAACCAGTTACCTCAATAAAAATTTAAAATGAACTTTTTGATACATCAACTCTGAAGTTTAAGGAGAATGGCAGCCAATAATAACACAGCAAAACTCCGTGATATTTTTTAAAACCCTAGCATAATGCTAGCATGTAATTCTGGGGATGGGTGAAGTTCTGAACAAATTGTAACAGATCACAAGCATCAGAATTTAGTCTAGACTCAAGATCTCAAGATCTGCTCCATGCTCATCTCCACACATGCCGGAAGACATCTGGGGAATTCAACACCCACTCTCAATTAATTTACTCACTCAAAGTAAGACTAACCAGAGACAGATACAAATCTGAAATCAAACACAGAAACCCAAAGAGCTGTTCAAGTAAAGTCAGGACAAAGATAAAAATGCCCACTGTCCAAGACTTTTGTTCTAGAAACACTGCCAACAAAGGCTACGAAAATAAACCTTTTTGTAGGTGAGAAAAAAGGCAGTCAGAAAGGCAAGACTGTCGGAAAGAAGTAAAGCCAGCTGCATGTTATCCAATTTCTCTCGACAGAAAAACTAAGAAAATCAACAGAATGGTTATGAGACAAAGTAAGAGTTACAAATGCAACTCAAAAAGTCAGTTTTCCTTTAGAAAGTATAAACCACTTAAAATGTAACATCAAAGACTCCGTTTACAAGGCAACTACAATAAGCAAACCAAACAGCTGATAAGACACAAAGCAGGGCTTACCAGCCAGGGTGGCTTTGCCCCCAGGGGACATTTTGTTGTCCCAACAGTGAGCATCTATTTGCAGGGCAGGGATGCTGCTAGTCATCGCACAGCACACTGGGTAACATCTCCTTAGAGGTCAAGGTTCAAAGCTGAGAACCTTGACACACAGGACCATTGAAGACGCAAGGTCACTCTTCTCAGTGACTGGTGATCACTGACGGATGATTGGGATTTTATGCTCTGTGATGAGCTTGGCTACAGTTTAACCAAAAACAGGGAGAGAGCCATGTCTAAATGACAGAACACATACTTTAGCCCACGCTCTTGTGGATCACATCTCAGGACCTGGGCCAAGGTGGCACATGGTGACGATATTTAATAAATACAAAATGAAAGGTCACGATTCACGCTGCAGCCTCGGCACCGTAACTCACCGGCTCCTGGACCATGGGGTGAACCAGCGTAGCTCGTGGTAGTTGGCTTCATTGGCCAAGGCCATCTTGGGCCTGATCAGCAGAATTCTCCTGCACAGGAAACAGGGCTGTTCACACAGAGCTCCTGAGAGACACACGTTGCTGCCGGCGGGCACTGCACCAGGGCCATGGCTAATGTCACACAGAGCCGGTGTGAGAGTGGGCCCTGGACAAATCTTTCCTCTCTGGGCCCCAGCTTCCTACCCACAAGACAGCTCCCCACAGTTGACGGTGACAAAGGAGCTAAGCCCCCACAGGTGCACTTTGCTGGCAGCTGGTGACCAAAGGCTGCAGAGGCATCCTTTAGATGAGGTCCAAGATGTCCCCAAGCCCCACCCTCCGTCCGCTCTCCTTCTTAGGCTTGGGGTGCCTGTGCCACTCTGTGAAGCAGTGCTCCCCTCTGATGTGTCAGCATCTCTAAGGCACCCCAAGAGGAGGTCTCCAGTTCACAGCTGCCTGGGTAAGACACAGCCCCCAGCCTCCAGCCCAGAGCCAGGCAGAGGCACTCCAGCCACTCACTCCCTGGGCCACCTACCTATTGAGAAAGATCACTCTGCAGTTGTAGCGGACACCGCGGTGCATCACAGGCCTGCAGGAGAAAGTGAAGTGAGCATGTGTGCTTCGTGAGCAGGGGCAGGCAGCGATGCCGGCTGCAGATCACAGTCTGTTTCCTCAGATCCTTCCAGAGAATCATAAGGCTCTTCTGGGGCTTTCACAGATCAAACTTAAAAATGAGGCAAATAATTCCAGATGGCAAAAGCTGAAAGCTGGAAGAGATTCTTGTAGATGAAGTGCAAAGTCACCCCACCCTCAGTGCTCCTCCCTCTCCTCCTGGAACGAATGTTCTCAGAACTCAGGAGGCTGACTTTCTCCCCTGCTGCCTCCTCACCTCACCATCTGCCTGAGCTTCCCTGAGCTGCAGCTCAGGTTCCAGCTTTGCTGCTGGCCAGGCAGCACTGGCCTGGGTGCTTCCTCCCAAAATGGGGTCAGAGGGCAGGATGTGTGCAGGGGCACCCCATCCCCTCCACAGCCCCCAGTCCTGGCCACCATGAACACCTTACACTATCACAGCTAGTCCTGGCTCAAGCCAAATGAACACATTCCAGGACAGACACAGACATGTTCATTTTTGTGCAAAGGGAGCGTAGAGTGCCAGGTAAATAAGTACTTTAAATACAAAATGAACCCTGGTGACTATCTGCTCTCTAACTGGAGCAAGCCCATTGAATAATAACAAACATACAGGAAAACGGACAGAAGCTGTCACTTAAAGCTTAACACATCAACAAAATTAAATAGCAAACAACATATAAGGAAAAAAAACTTATTCCATGAGGGAACAGGGCTGATACCTTTCATATATAAAGAACTCCTAAAGTAAATGAGATACAAGCAATTGTAGGCAAAAACAAAAAAAAACCTCCTGAAACCAGGCAATTCCAAAAGTATCACAATTGACCAAGAAACAGAAAAAATGTCCAGCTCCACAGGTATAAGTGAGACAGTGTTTTTTAATCATCCACCATTGGGAAGTTTTCCTTTGTTTGTGAGCACCAGTGCTGTGCACACCAGAGCAAAGGTCAGCACACCTCCACCCACTGAGGGCAGGAGTGTGACTTGTCACTGCCCTGGGGCAGGAATACCCGGAGGAGAGCACAGGTGAGGTGACAACATAATCTTTTTTTTTTTTCCTCCCTTTTTCCTTTTTTTGGCAGTACTGGGGTTTGAACTCACACTTTTATACTTGCTAGGCTCTACCACTAGAGCCACACCTCCAGCCCTTTTTGCTCTGGCTATTTTGGAGATAGGGTCTCCTTTTTTGCCCAGGCCAGCCTCGACAGGGACCCTATTTTACGCTTCTCACTGCAGTGGGGATGACAGGCACATGTCAACACACCCAACTTTTTTTTTCCTGTTGAGATGGGATCTCAGTGACTTTTTTGCTAGGGCTGGGCAGGAACCTTGATCCTCCCAATCTGAGTCTCCCAAGAAGCTGGGATTACAGGCATGAGCCACTATGCCTAGCTGTGACAACATAATTCTTTTTTGGTTCAGTGGAACCAGACAAATGTGAGGCTTCAAAAGAAAAGTATCTTCAATATGATTGTGACCATTTTACAGAGAAAAACTAGAAAAATTAAAATAGGATTATAATTTACAAGCTACAAGTTTTGAGCAAAATAATAATAATAACAGCCAGGTGCTGGTGACTCACGCCTGTAATCCCAGCTACTCAGGAGGCAGAGATCAGGAGGATCGCACTTTGAAGCCAGCTGGACAAATAGTTTGTGAGACCGTACTTTGAAAAAACCCATCACAAAAAAGGGGTGGAGGAGCGGTTCAAGGTATAGGCTTTGAGTTCAAACCCCAGTACCACCAAAAAATAAATAAACGATAATACCAACAAAGAAGACACAGGAAGTCCACACAGATGGCTGAATGGGGCTTGCTCAAAGATGCCCACATCCTCACTCCCGGCCCCGTGAATGTGTCAAGTTACCACCTTACAGGTGGGATGCAGTTAAAGCTCGTGCATGGGGAGACTAACTGTGAGGGTCCTTCTAAGAGGCAGGGTCGAGAGGGAGCTGGAAGATGTAAGCCAGAGTGGTGCAAAGGTGCCTCTGGGCAGGGGAGCTGGGAGACATGGGGACTTGGACTCTCCCAGGAGGCTTCCAAGAGAACCAGACTTGCTGCTGACAGGCAGGACCATCAGGTAAAGCATCTGTGATGCTTCTGAGTTTTGATTTTGTGTTCCCAACCCACATAGCCATCATCAGAATGAATGGATTGGAAGACGAACCTATCTGCATGCTGTCACGAGACCCTGCTGAACAGACGGGTGGCAGGGTAGAACGTGGAACGGTGATTGGGAGAAAGCACTAAGAAGAAAACAAAGGCACCAGGCTGTGCAGACATGGGGTTGAGGGAGAGGCCCATCGATGGGGCTGGTGATGCAAAGCCGGCAGACATACACTACAAGATTCCATGCTGGAGTCTACCATGTGGCGCTACACCTATGAAACGCCTACCTTGGGGCTTTGTGGCTGGCGTGTCCACATCGAATGACATGCAGCCACCCCCCCCAAGACTCGCCACAAAGTGAACAAAGCTCTCTGGGTGTGACAGGACCATATGTGCAAAGCATGTGCCTGGGAGCTTCTGAAAAAAACTACAAAATCTACTTCCCACCAGGGGCTGGCCATGGGGCTGGGATAGGAACAAAACCTACTTTCCAAGACAAGTGTTTTTGTATCCCTTGCCACGTGTGGATCCCACATGCCCCATGGAGGGGAGCCTGGGATACATCATGTCCTTGAAGTTGCCTTTTCTCTGAGCTTACCCTTCCACACACTCACGATGGCACTTACATCCCCACGTCACAGATGATATCCTGAGTGATTGGAGATTCCAGAAGTTCTGCCAGCACTTGAATTGAATGCAAGAGGGTGTCTGACTCGTAATGATGATCCCAGCATCCATAGCCACTGCAGAAAGAGGGCACGGGCAGGTGAGGAGGCAAGGCAGAGGCTGGGGGGAGGGAAGTCAAATGGGTCGGAACATGTCAGGCGTGGGCCCAGGCACTGAATTTTTTCCATGCCTGCCAGGTGATTTTTCCCGTGTAGCTAGTCAGCAGTGGGGCTCCAGCAAATGGTGCATTTTATCAGAAATGAAGAAACTTCAGGCTTCTGCTCCTTTCTTAGTTTTTGACTACTATGAGGAGCTCTCTCTAATGTCAACAAGTGCTTGTCCTTGGATTTTTTTTTTTTCCTAACCTTTAATCTGGCCAAAATTACACTGCTACAAGGACCCCAAAGAAATCACAGAAAACCATTCTTCAGGCAAGGAAGATCATAGTGAGCAAACACCTCCCCCACAGCCTCTCCTGAGCTGCTTGCTATAGATACTTGTCAAGGGCCGAATGGTGACCCTCCAAAAAGGTATTCATATCCTAACCTATGAATGTGGACATGACCTCGTGTTAGAATAAGTCTTTGCTGTTCTAATTAAGGATCTCAAGATAAGGTCAACCTGGATGTTCCTGGGATTCCTTCTACCACCAGTATACTCATCAGAGACAGACAAGATGACAGGGAGAAGCAGGGAAGCCATGCAAAGACGGATATAGGGATGCCTATGGCCCCCAGGAGGCAGGAAGGACCATGCCCTAGAGCTTCAGAGGGAGTGTGGTCCTGATGACACCCTGATTTTGCACTTCTGACCTCCTGAGATGTGAGAATAGATCCATGGTTTTGTGAACCCCTGGGTTTTCGGTCCTTTGTTACAGCAGCCCCAGAAATCTCCCATAGCACTCCATGATGTCATGACGGGAAGACACGACTGACAGTAATTTCTTAGTTTGGTCACTCAATAATAAAATGTAGGGGGACTTGTAAAACACTTCTAAATCTTCAGAAAGTTTTCCTTCCAACCTGTGGCGGCCAGGGAAGCACGATTCCAATGCCAAGCAAAGCCAGCACACACCAACAGAAACCCCAAAATGGGCGGTTGCCATTTTGAATGCCTGGAAAAGCATTCCTCCATGCCCATGCTTGGGTAAGAGGAAAAGCCCAGGTGCTCAAGAGGAAGTGGCCCTTAGGAGCTCCCAACCAAGGAGCAGCCCTGGGGCTCCCATTCCTCTGCAGGACAAAGACCTGTTCCCTAGGTCTTTGTCCCCTATCCCCTTTAGCTCCAGGGACCCGAATGTGAAAATGAATAATGCTGTACTGCCAGGCATCAGCTACCAGTGACCTCTCACCCTTCAGCTGGCTGGCAGCGGGAGGAGCCCTCTAGACAAGCAGTTCTTCAGTAATCGCTGAGGCCCCTGGCACCAGTCACCTTCCATCTCCAGAGCCTGCAAAACTTGCTCAGAGAAAACAGTGTGAGAGCCCTCAGCTCATGAGTCAGCCCACCTTGCTTCTTGTTCCAGGAGCTGCTCTGGGTGGGAGATGGATACCTAGCCAATAAGAACAGGAAGAGGGTGGGCTTAGTGAAGCCACTGCGCTCTTCTTCTACCTCAGTTTCCTCTTTGTCCATAGTTGCGAATACTTATTGTGAGCTTGCTCAGCATACCATAAGCTAAATGGAGCCAGCTCAGCGAGCTCAATACAAATACACCATCCTGGGTGCTTCAGTTAAAAGTTCTCCCCTTTTGAAAATGACTGGCCCAGATTTGGGGGTGGGAGGGAAGCAGAGGGGAGAGAATAGGCAAAGAGAGATGAAGACAAAAACTCTGAGTGTCTGGACAACAGGCAGGCCAGTGGCTCAGGTAGTGCTGTGGCTCCCGAGGGGCAAGACAGCCAGACACTCCAGCCAAGCCCAAAGCTCAGGAAGGCAGTTATGCAACTTGGTGACAAGGGAGTCCAAGATCCCTGGGCAGATAGGTGAGGAGCTTCTAAAATAACAAATTAAATGAGGGGTACAAATGTTCCTGCATGGCCTGGGAGAAGCAGCCCTATTGGAACTGGGGCTCTAAAGAAAGTCACTAACTTAGTAAGGAAGGAGAACTCAGGATAAGAGAGAAAGATGACTTAGGACTAACACAAAAACACTGCTCCCTATATGTCCAGAAACCAGAGAAAACAGGGGACACAGACAGACAAGGGTCTTCCAGACCCCACAACTATTTAGGATTTAAAGACAAATAGGAAATGAGCAGAGTGCAGAAGACGGGTGGGATCCAAAAACAGACAGGAATCACAGCTGGTAAGAGACATACAAGATATCCATCCACTGATTAGTTTAAAATAAGAGACCAGAAGAGAGCCGGGTGTGGTGGTGCACGCCTGTGACTCCAGCCACACAGGAGGTAGCCTAAGCAAAGTGGTGAGACCCCATCTCAAAACTAAAATACAAACCAAGGGCCCGGGAATGTGGCCCACGTAGTAAGTGCTTGCCTAGCATGCTCAAAGCTCTGGGTTCAATCCCCAGTATCCCCTCCTCACCCCCCAAGTAAGGAGAACAGAAGGGAACCAGGGCATTGGTTTCCAGATTCTTGCAAGAGGCATCCTGGAAGTGACAGTTTATGCTTGCTTATGGAAAAATGGTGAGATTTCCTGAATGAAACCTCTTTATGGTTAAATAAAAGAGAAGGTGTCTTAGGACATTGGGAGCTGCAGTAACAAAGTATCTTAGACTGGGTAATTCATAAAGAACAGAGAATTACTAGATACATTTCTGGAGGCTGAAAGTCCAAAGTCAAGTCACCAGCAGATCTGGTATCCGGTGAAGGCTGTTCTATGCATCACAGATGGCACCTTGCAGGTGGCCTCATTTAGAAGGGGCAAACAAGCGTCCTTGCACCTTTTTTATAAGAGCTCTGATCCATTCATTATGACCTAGTGACCTTACAAGGCCCCACCTCTTAATATCATCACTGAGGGTTAGGTTTGCACAATGAATGTTGGGGGGGGGGACACAAACATTCAGACCACATCAGAGTAAAGGTAAAACGGGAGCCCAGTTGTTTTGGTTTTGTTTTGTGGGGGTAGGAGGTATTCTTTTTGGTGGTGCTGGGGTTTGAACTCAGGACCTTATGCTTGCTAGGCAAGCACTCTACTGCTTGAGCCACACTTCCAGCCCACTTATTTATTTTGAAGTAGGGATTGAACTCAGGGTCTTGCACTCTACCCTTTGAGCCAGACCGCAGCACTTTTGTTGTGTAATTTTTTTTTCTTTTTCAGTATGGGGGTTTGAACTCAAGGCCTCACTCTTGCTAAGCAGGCACTTTACCTCTTGAGTCATTCGATCAGCCTGGGAAGCCCAGTTTTGACACCAGCCCTCAGCTGGTAAAATTCAGTTACTCAACAATAGGGATCTGCAATCACCTGACCCTTCTGGGCCTGTTCTTCCTGGGTGTTCAATGTCATTAACCAGGTCCGTTGTGGGATTAACGGACCTGAAAAGCCTCCAAAGTGGGCTTGGTATTTCTGCAGCTCACATACAGCTGCAGGCATCTCCACCCTGTAGCGGGGGACAGCTGACAAGGGATACTACCTGCCCACTCTGGGAGGTGGGTGTGCTTATTCTCACCATATTTCCAGTTCAGGTCCAAGCCTGTATCTTGCTCCTCTGTTCTTGGCAATTTTAATACCTGTATGACCAGGGAGAAAAGGGGATAATTTCAGCACCTAGGAAAAGTTCAAAGGCAGACAACTCCTTTCCTCTCCCCTCCACAATAGGTATGATTTTTAAAAAAGCAAAAGCTCTTTGTAGCCAGTTCTCCTGGTACTAGCCAGGCAGCAGAGGGCAGCAGATACTGAATATACCTATACACACCTGCAGGAAGTGAGGACAGCTCACCTGCAGCACCCAGGAGGAGGAGGATAGGTCACACCCCGGGAGTTTACCAAGTAGAGACCAAGATAGCTGTAGGGAAAAGCTGCAGGCTAGACTTGAACATTTACAACTCATGGCAGTGCCAGCCAAGTTTAGGCCAACCTGCTGAGCAGACACCCAAGACAGCCTCTTTACCTTTCCCCTCCCCACAAGTCATTGCTCTGAGATGAAACCAAGTTAATAAACACATTTGAAAAAATTAAGAAAATAATGATGGCCCAACAGCACAGGGCTGATGACATGCTAACACTCTGGGCACTGTTCTGTGGCTCCTGGAAAACCATCTTGTGAATGCATGCACTCAACAACCATGCTCTCAGATGGCCAGCTCACCCCTTACCTCACTGGACTTTCTCTTTGGGATGACTTCTCCCAATACCCACCCACCAGGAAGGTCCTCCACCACCCAATCTCTGGTGTCTGCACACAATCACAAATTCGTCCCAGGGGCTTTGCCAATTGGATCCTAGAGATCTCTGCAGACAGATGCATCCCCAGCCCGCTCATCTCCACCTCCAAGCCAGACTCTTCTTAACTCCTACCTTGCTCCACTGGGCACTGTAAACAGTCCCCTCACCTGCCTGAGGAGCTGCACAGTTACCACAGGTGAGGTCATTAGCCATTATCTGTTCTGTACCCACGCCCACTGCCTCGAGTTCCTGCAGGACAGAGCTGTGTGCACGTCTTGACAAGCTGCAGCCGAGCCACAGTGGACGCTGGCCTCCTCCTGTCCCCCGCCCGTGACTCACTCTTTAAAATCCTTTGCAAGTTCCCCTCGAAGTCCAGAGCCCACTGGTTGAGCGCACAGGTAGCCACGGTCACCTTCCGGCCCATCCTAGCCACGGTCACCTTCCGGCCCAACCTGGCCACAGCCGCCTGGGCGGTAGTCCGCCGCTCCGGGGTGGCTCCTGCGGCCCCCCCAAGCCGGACCGCCAGCCCCCGCGCCCGCACTTCCGGTTTCCCCCGTCCCACCCACTTCCTCGCCCCGCCCATGGATAGCCCCCGCCCACCCGGCCAGCCACTGCCTTGCAGAAAGGCAGAGGGCTGCGTCAGGCTCCGCCCACGGGCCGCTCGGCCCCGCCCCCGCAGTGCTGCGGACGGCGCCTGCGCACTGAGCCAATGCTCAGCGCGGGAGGAGGCCGAGCGCGCGAATGCCCGCTTAGTTTACCCACGTGATGCTCTAATAGTGTATGAAAAGTTCCTAGTGCACCAGGTGCACCTGCCAGCCAGCTGAAGAAAACAATGTTATCAATACTGCGGATGAACTGTATCAGCTCTGCCCTGTGAATAGCTCCAGGGCGCACCCCTCCTCTCTCTGCCCACGGAGCCCCCCCCACGATTTCCACGCGCATCGCTCCCGGCTGGTTCCCATTCCTGCCCCGCGTGTGTTGGGCTCCGCTAAGGAAGGCAGAGCGCTGCTTTGCTTCTCTGACACTGCATATTGATACATTCTTCTGATTATCAATCTGAAGTTTGGTGCTCCATGGTTGGAGTTAAGCAGTTTAGCCATTCCCCAGGCATGGGCCCTGGGGGTTGCAGCGTTTCCAGTGGCACACGCAGCTGTTTTCACTCCCACAGGGCCTTCCCTCGCAGCCACGTCGATTTCTCCAGCAGCTGCGCCGACGAGTAGAGCGCGGACGCGTCCATCTTCATATACAGTCACAGGTCGCGTCTCCAAGGTGCTCAGCAGCTTTTCACTTTCGCATTGCCCACTGCAGGGTCTGTCCACCCAGGACAGGAATGCTTTTTTCCCCCATGTGGATAAATAAATGGCTCACCATCGTCTCTGGTTTCCAGTACTACTGTCAGATGAACACTTATTCTCATGTTTTAATTACTTTTTCCATTTATAAAGAAATTTGGAAACTCCAGAAATCACAAAACTTTATGTGTATTCATTCATCCGATCCCAACATCCTCCCTTGGGTGGTTTTATTCCTCCAAATCCAAAAGGTCTGCTGCTGCACTCCTTCAGGTTTGTGCTCAAGTGCCTCCAACCTATAAGGACTGATCCAGGAGTAGAGCAGAGAAGATCCTTCTGGTTGTTTCACAAAATAAGGAGGTCTTTAAAACTAGGCCCTTGCTAGCTGGACCATAATTGCCTGTTGGGCATTTACCAAAAGAAGGGCCTATAACTGTAAACCATATCTTTGGCAGCTCAGGAGCATCACTCAGGGATAGCAGAGTTACTCTCAAGAATGTCACTGAGGCAGGATAGATCAGGGAAACTAAGGCATGAGAAATAGCAGCCAGGAACTTACAAACAAGTATTGCACTAATGAATAGCTCAATTAAAAACATACAGATTGGGCTTCAAGCTTTACATTCCTTCAACAAACTATAACATTTACTAAAAAGAGAATAAGGGTAGGGGCAGAGAGCAGCTCTTTCCTTCTGACCTTGCCCGTTTGCCCAAAAATAATTAGTACACTCTGAGAACTGAGCAAAGATATCTTAAAGAAAGACACTTATCCTGGGAAGGACCTCTTGAGAAAATGACTCCTCTTGAGACAAGAATTTACAAAGATGACACCTATCTTAAAGGGAGCATCCTTTGAAGTCTCTGGGCCCAAATGATAAAACAGTTTAACAGCAAGAATGATTAAATATACCAGGTGTCAGAACAAAGAGGAACAGTCTTTTCCAAGGTGAATTCAAGCTAAACTCCCAATCCACATTTTCACCATAAACACCTCTGAGTTAGAGCACTCATTACACCTGTTATCAGATGTGCCTGCCCTCATGTCTGGGTTGTATACTGTATTTCTATCTTTGCTTTGCTTTACTGGTAAACTTCTTGGTCTCTACCTTGATGTGTCCTAAAATTCTTTTTTGTGACAACATCACGAACTTGGTACCTAAGAGCCAGGCAGAGGCCTGCTCCCTTTTGAAGACTTCCTCCCTGGAGCTCCCAGTTCTGGTAACATCACCATCAAAAGAGTAAGAAGACTTCTGTCTCCTGGATTATACTGGAGGACAGGATTCTAACATTGGTGATTCCCAGCTAACCACCACTGGCCTAGCCTCATTTACAGGAACCAACCCTTTGTACTTCCTATTTCTCTGACTCTGAGTCCCTCTTCCCCCTTGTTAGTAGTTAACTTTAAAATCACTAATTTTGGAGGTCACACAGCTGAACTATACCTCTCACTAGCTCTGCTGTGGTATTCAGTGACTTGAAAGCCATTTTTGTCAAAACTACCAGGTCTTTAGATGGGCCTAGGCAGTGTCCAATGGGTGAGCGTCTGCCATTGGGATGCTAAAAACTCCCTCCTCAGGTCATGCTGTTTCCTATGAAAGGCCATAAACTTCCGTTATGCACATGCAGAACACTGGTCACTTCACTTCCAACCACCTTTCCCCAGACCTTAAGTCACCCTGCCTCTTTGCCCCATTTATATCCCCAAGCCCTGTACTGGGGAGGTGGATTTAAGACTTGGTCTTAAATCTGATTCCTGTACTTGGCCGCCTTGTAGACAAACTCTCTTTTGCATTTCTCTTTTGATTGGCACACCACTGCATGCAGACAACCTGGGCCTAGTTTGGTACCATTCTTAAGGAAAGGACAGGACCTGTCATTCAAACAAAGAAGCCAGTTTGAAAGGACTCCCACAGGCCAAATGTAGGGTCCTACTCACAGGATGATAATGCAGAGTAAAAAATTCTAGTCCATACTGATAACATTAAATTACAGAGGAGACTTCTTTACAGAAAACTGCCCAGTAATAAATATCTTAATAAATGTTGAAGGAATGCTCAAATTGAAAGATTGACCTTTTGCACAAAATAAAAAGCGATACAGGCAAGAGTCATTAAATGCTAAGTTACAGGGAGGGGGTCAAAGGTTGTCTAGAAACAGTATATTTACACAGTCTCAAAATATCATTTCACTGATTTACTTATTAATCGTGGAGACTGCTAAGCCAGGTGCTGGTGGCTCACATCTGTAATCCTAGTGACTGGGGAGGCTGAGATCGGGAGGATTGTGGTTCAAGGCCAGCCTGGATAGTTTCTGAGACCCCCCCAAGTCCAAAATAACTCAGAGCAAAATGGACTGGAAGTGTGGCTCAAGAGGTAGAGCATCTGCTTTACAAGAATGAAGCCCTGAGTTCGAACCCCAGTCCTATGGAAAAAAAAAACCAAAAAACAAGAGGAGACTACCCATTGTCAAACTTATTCTCAACCCTGGGACAAAGTAATACCAGATGCACTGAGGATAGCATATACTCTACGTAGTGTATTATCCTGCCAATAAATGTCTAACCCCAAAGCGTGGCATGGCTCCCTGACTGGGTTCTGGGATTTTAAAAAGAGCTACAAAGGCCAGTATTGGGACAACTCAGGGGATCTGCAGATGGACAAGTGCGCACAGCTCAAAATGATGCTCAATCTCCAGAGTGTGGTGGTTTGATTTTGGCAACATGGGAGAATGTTCTTCCCCTCAAGAGATGGATATGCAGGATTGAGGAGGCGGTATCACGGTGTCTGCAGCTAACTAATGGCTCAGGGGGTGTATGGAAAAGAGAAAAAGACACACGAGAGAGATAAAAGAGAAAGGAAATGTGGCTGTCCGTAGCTACTGTCCGTGGTGGCTGCTGCGTATAAGGATAAGGGAGTCTATGTATGTTTAACTGTTTGAATTGCTGGCCTTATTCAAAATAAATAGCTGCAGAAAAAAAAAAATCAGTGAGGGACACAGCAATGTGACCACCAGATCTCCCCCCCACCACAGGGCCTGTTGTCTGACACCTGCAGTGCCCACACCTCTGGGAGCCGCCTCCCCCCTTGCAGGCTGTCCAGTGTCCAAGGACTGATGGAGGCCAGAGCTATGGCATGACCATTCCAGACTAACAGGACAACTGGGGGCCGGGGTGGATGGGGGAAGGGGGGGCTCTTTTGCCTGGGACTTTCCTATGGGGTCTGACTTGCACAGGTGCAACTTTCCAACCCCTTGCTCAATCCTGTTGCTTTACTCCTCCCCCAACCCCTCAATCCTTGCACTGTGTGATCCTTAAGAAGCATCCTGTCCTAAGTTCCATCTTTGGGTTCCCTCCTGGGGGACCCTTCTCTGACACTGTCCTGCCACACTCAGTTCTCCTTACCCCGCCCATATATTTACTTGATTGTGTGTTTACTGAGTATCCTTTTCCCCCAGAACTCGAGCCGTAGGAGCAGGGGCTTTGTCTGTTTTGATCATTGCTGGCTACACCACGTGCTCCCGTTTACTCCTTGCAGAGGAATAAACTGAGACACTGGGAGGCGCACGCCCATCCAGGGACTGAGCAGAGTGGACTCAGCGCAGCCCACGTGGCCTCTCTTGGCCAGTCCCGCTTATCCCCAGCCTTTCTCCCAGTCCAGCCCGGCGGGCCACGCGTGACGGACCCACCTGCAAATCCTAAAAGCACCCCAGGCTCGGCCTGGGCTGGGAGGGGCGGGGCGGGGCGGGGCGGGGCGGGGCGGGCCCGGGCCGTCAATCTCGAGCCCCGCCGCCGCCGAGTGGCGCGCGCGGTGGACTCGGAGTCAGCTCAGGCGCCTCAGCCAATCGTAGGGCGTGAAGCCGCCGGCCGCACGGTGCCTGCCTCGCATTCGTCGTCAATCGCTTACGTCATACAGGGGGCGGGACTTCGGGGTGGGTCTCCACCACCGCGGGGGTGGCTTTAGGCCTGAGGCGCGCGATCCCGCTTGGAGAGCAGCTGGGGTGCACTGGTGAGGGGGACGTGTGCGCAGGTGAGGGGGACGTGCACACGTGGTGGCGGCGAGGGTGTGGGTGTGGGGGGGGTGAAGGGGACGTCTGCACCGGTTAGGAGGGGCGATGCACGCCGGGGCGCGTGCGTGCAGGTGCACTGCGCTTAGAATAGGTGGGGTCTGCGGGAGAAGAGGGTGGGGTGAAGATCGCAGGTGGGGTGGCTGCCCGGCTCACAGATGAGCTGCTGATATTCAGGTTAGGGGCGCTGCTTGGCCTACCCTAACTACCCCGGGAAAGTCCCACTCCTGTGCGCAATTTGGCGAATCCCATTTTCGGTAGAATTTGGAGTCGTCTGTTTATTCTTCCAAGAAATATATGGGTTGATAGCAGGCGTGAGGGTGCTGCGGAGTTTGGGGGGCAGAAAAGCTAAGCGGTGGCTTGGACTGCCCCAGGTTCTGTAAATCCACCAGAATAGGGTCTGGGACTGGGTTGAGTAGTCAACCCAGCAGACGTTCACCCCCTACTCCCGCCCCAACCAGGATGGTTTGCAGAGCCAGAAGTCAGAAATTGACTATTTCTGACTCTTGGAAATACTTGTAACAAGAGTCTTCTAGGCAACTGCTGCTTAAAAAAAAAAAAAAGTGGCAGACGTATATAGGATCTGTATATTAGGAAAAGCTGGGTAGGAGATGTGCAAGGTGAAGCCAGGTGGCAAAATAATTGATACAAATCCATTTTTGGAAAGAAAGACGAGAGAGGTGGATGTGTCTAGGTGGTGAGTAATTTGTGGAACAGTCTGAAAGAAAAATGACACTCGGGGATGGATTGGAAGAAGGTGAAAGGACTTGTAAGCTCGAGTTACAGTGAATGTATTGTGTGATATCTGAAAAGCAGAAGAAACCCTGTAACTTCCATCAGAACTGGAGTTTACCCTTGGTCATCAGGGATGGGGCCTCTGGGCATTTCTTTCCATGTAAGACTCATGCCTATTTCTGGGGTCTCAGCTGGGACTTCCACCCTCCCCAGATAAGCCAGGACCCCCAGAGTCAGGCCAGAGCTTTTCCTGTCCAACATCTTGTAAAGGGGCCACACTTGGCACTGAGCACATGTGGCTTGGTGAGTCTCCTGTGGGACTCATGAACACCAGTCTTGGTGGGGTGAGGGGAAGGATAGAAAAGCTACAGGTAACTCCAAGGATCACCCTAAAAGCTAACCTCATACCTTAGGTGGGGGCACAGGTGATCTCACTAACCATTACAACCACAAACGTCTCTATTACTGTGGTTAAGCTTTTATTATTTTTTATTAATGATTTTATTACACTGTTTAAGGTTTTAGGGGTACAGCCTTTTAGTCTTTTAAATAGTGTACTCTATTGCAACTTGGCCTTTTGTTGTGATTTGGGGAGGGGTTGTGTCCTATTGGTACCTGTACAGCCAGTGTGTCAGTTTTTACCTGACTTTTCCTGTGAATTGTCATTTAGTTTTGCCCATCCTTTTGCACTTGAATATAGGAAACTGTGTGGAAGTTCTTGCATTCGCCTGCTTACCCAGCCCTCTGAATATTTCCAGAACGATCAACCACCAGTACAGGCTGGGTCAACCTGTGGGTCTTCCTGTCCAAAACCACCAAGAAGGGCTTCCCACCCCCTTACTCATTCCTTCTTGTGTCATTCTCTTTCATTTTGAAATCCAGTGCCTCTCCTGAGACTTAACAAATTTCCAAATTGAACTCCCTGCTGTTCCCATAATATCCCAACTAAACAGATGTGTTCCTCTGTGGGAGGTCCTTGGACTAGCACTCAGCCCCATATTCAGAAGGTTGGTTGTCATTGTCACTCCATAGCTTCCTAAGAATTTCTGTCCCAGAAGGTGGAGTAGTGCCCCAGGCCCAGCTCTGTCCCCATAGGCCTGCCTAAGCAGTGAACAGTCACCCACCTTCCTCATCCTCAGCTCCCTCACCTATAAAATGGATGTAATGATGCCAATTCTCCAGGTGGGCGTGAGAGTTCAATGGGATAGTGGGTGCCTAGCACTAGGTGAATGTTGACTAATTATTAGTTGTCAGTGACAGATTGTGTCATCCAGTGCTGGCCCAGTAATGGCTGATATTGTAATACCTTCCCACTCCCCTGCCAAAACCTCCATTCCCTTTCCTGGGAATGATGGTGAGCTTGTGACAATAAGATCTGGTGGGAGTGATGTCACATGCCTTCCAAGGCCAGGTCAGAACAGGCACCATGACCTCTGCCTTGTGTGCAGAACTGTTCCTGGCACGCTTCTTTTTAGTTTTAATTTTTGGGGGCAGTACTGAGACTTGAACTCAGGGCCTCACACGTGCTAGGCAGGTACGCTACCATTTGAGCCACTCTGCCAGTCCCCCGGATCCTTCCTTGTGAGCACTTTCCCTGCCTGAGGCCCCTGGCTATGAGGAAGCCCAGGCAGTTCACACAGGAGGAGAGTCCTAGAACCCGTCACAGCTGACATGCTGCACAAGATACCCCCACGGCTTGGCCACCCAGGCCATGGCTACCCAGTCCATCACTTCCAAATTCCTGCTCACTAACACTGTGAGACATGATTTTAAAAGGCTTTGTTTTAGGCCATTGAGTTTGGGGCTCCATGGCTGGGCATCGCGGCTTTTGTGGCCACCCCTGCCAGTCTTAACTGGGTGCTCTCACCAGCTGGTGCTGTGATGGTGTGAGTGAGTCACTTCTCGGGTGAATTCAGGGACACAGTGTGGCCCTGAGCACCTGTGATCACATTTACTCCATGGAGTGGGTGACCAATGATTAGATTATGCAACTGAGGGAGCGAAGACTTGGCAAGTGTTAGGTGCAGGGCCACACACCTTGAATTACCCAAATGGGGACATGGTGGCAACAGGAGCTAGTCTTGCCAGAACCTGCGGTCTCTTTTGGGGACCACTGGGCCAGCCACCACCCACCCTACTGAGGTGCTGTTTCTCTCCTGCACCCCCAAGTCACTAAACCATCAAGATGCCAAGATGTCCCCAGACTGAGGAGCAAGTCCCTTTAGCTTGTGCCTGAAGGACTCGCAGACCATCTAGAAGGCTGAGCAGGTTGCCAGAGAACCCCATCCTTTTCCCCCACGGAACCAAGTTGCCTCTGCTTTTTTGTGTTCTTGGCATCTGAATGGCTCCTGGAATGTGTCCCTGGGAGCATGCCAGCTCGAGGGTGGCTCTAGAGAGGAGCCTCTAGAGAGCTCTCATCTGTGTACGTTGCCACTGGTCAGCATCTATGAAGAAACGCACCAGGCCTGCATCTGATCTGCCTGTGTTAGGAAGGCTCGTCTTCCCCAAGCCTCCATCTACTTCCGTTTTAGTGTTTACTGTTTGCCAGAAGCTGTGACAGGCAAAGGTCTGTGGTGATTGCACCACATCCTCCCACCTCCAGATGGCCTCTTCCAAGTCTGAACCGCTGAGCACTGAGCTTGTCCCTCTGGCTTGCTGCCAGCCATTGGCACTGACGCTAGTGGTCAGCCTTGACAGATGCCACATGAGTCTTTATCTGCCTTCGATCCTAATGTGTCATCTTGGCACTGAGTGACTGTGGCATTTTTGTGTCCCCTGCCAGCCTTTGTTCAGTGTGAGGTCAAGGATCAAGCAGGCCTTTTGGAACTTAGGAGTCTGGGAGTTTTAAAGGGCAGTCCAAGAAGAAGGGAAGGTTCATCCTGCTGGGAAGCCACCAGACCAGAGGTTGAAGGTCATTGTGGTGCTGGTATCTCTGTAGAGCAAGGCCACAGTAGCTTTGAAAAAGAACAAATCAGTACACTGGCTGTCAAGTGTCATCCACCTGAGAGTTTTAAGATTAGAATAAGATACACCCAGAGCTCCTAGCTCTCCTCTCTTCCTAGCCACCATTGGCAAAGTTAGTACTTTTGAATCCTTGTTTTACAGGATTCAGGGGCTATGATGGAAGAGGTGACTTGGTTGCATGAACTCTGTGGATAAGCTTAAAATATTTACTTGATTAATTTTTAATCTCTTTGGGTAATATTCTCCACCTGGCTTTTCTATGTGTGGTTATGAGATTATATATTTCCTGGCCCTCTAGCATGTTAGATAATTAAGGGATAACCCTGGTGCCAGGCATTGTGTCCTCCGGGCTTATCTCTGGGCTAAGGCAAGATAAATGCCACTCCCTTTAGCCTCCCATCAGGCAGATGGGCACATGTGCCCTGGGGCTTATCTGGTTAGTGTGAACACTAGCAATCAGAGGAGACAGGCACTGAATTGGTAAGCTTGGACTGGGAGCAGCAAATAGGGCTGTGTACCAGGGTGGTGTTCCTGCTCAGTAAGGAGAAGGTGAGAACCTCAGGGGGCAGGACAGTTGAAAGCAAGCTGGCATGTTCCGTGTCCGGTGGCTCTGGTCCCAAGACCAGTGTTGCTGAGGAGTGAGCACTTCCTGTAAACACTTTCCTTTTGTCTACACCAATTACACAGATAGCAGCAGGGGATTGCCCTGAGTCAAGCTTTTTGGTTTTGTGTGTTGGGGCTGTACAGAGAGGTGTGGCTCTAGCCAATCGAAATCTCTCCAAACCAGACACGGTTGTACACGCCTGTATTCCCAGCTACTTGGGAGGCGAAAGCAGGAGGATCTTGAGCTCGAGGCCAGTCCTGGCAAAGCTAGCAAGACCCTGTCTCAAATACAAAATACAAACGAAAGGGCTGGGGGCATGGCTCAAGTGGTACAGCGCTTGCCTAGCATGTATGAAGCACTCTAAGCCTCAGTATCACAAAAATTAAATAAATAAATACATAAATAAAAGCTCCACCTTGTAACTTATATCACAGTCGGTTCTCACACTGCATAATAAAAATGCTCTTCCCCATGGGTGTTTTTTAAATGAATGTGTCTTAGTATAGTAATTCATGCTCATAATAAACAGTGTTAAAAGGCTTTAAAAAAAAATTGAGTCCTTTACTTCATTCCCACATCTTAGTCTCATGTGCTCAGCACACACTTCATTCTCTTATCAACTTTTGTTATTGTATATCTTCTTATCTCTTAAGTAATTTGCTTTAAGGCCTCCCAGGTTTGCAAGTTTCCTTCTACACATCAAAATAGTCAGCAGAGTTTACATTGTTACAGCAGAGCCATGTAATACTCTGCGTCCTGCATTTTCTGTTGCAATTTTCTAGCATATTAGGTAATCAAGCGATAGCACTAGTTCCAGATATGTGTCCTCTGGCTTATCTCTGGGCTAAGGGCAAGACAAATGCCGTTCCCTTCAGCCTCCCATGAGGCAGATGGGCACATGTGCATTGGGGCTTTAGTGTGAACACTAGAGATCAGACAGGCACTGAATTGGTAAGTTTGGGCTGGGAGCAGCAAATAGGGCTGTGCACCAGGGTGGGTGTTCCTGCTCAGCAAGGAGAAGGTGTGGGTGACAGTGCGGAAAGCACGTCCAGGTGACTCTGGCCCTGAGATCAGTTTTGCTGGGAGTGAACGCTTCTAGGGAGGAGAAATACAGGTTTGTCTGGCTGGGAAGTTCGGGGTTGGGCAGCCGCAGCTGGTGAGGACCTTCTTGCTGAGGGACTCTGCAGAGTTCCGAGGTGGTGCCAGCATCATGCGGTGAGTGAAGCCTAGTGTCCTGGCTCAGATCTGTCCCTGTGGGATCAGGGCCTCACCTTTGTGGCCTCACTTAGTCATCTTCCAAAGGCCCCACCTCCAAATACCTGGCAAGATTAAGTTTCCACCCTCTTAATGTCCCACATTTCAGTATGAGTTTTGGTGGACATTCAACTATAGCATGTACTATAATTACGTTTTGTTGTTGTTGTTGTTGTCCTTTGTACCACTATTTTTCCTGGAATTAACAATTGCCTCACTTTTTTCAATTTGCGAAGTTTTCTGTGAATCTGTGATTAGCTGTGTTTCTGAATGTTTGAACAGAACCATTATTGAATCATTTTTCTACACACTCTGATGATTTTTATTTTTTTCCTTCCTAGTCATTCATCTTAACAGCAGTGTGAGCTGCTTCCTGCCCAGTCCTGCTGCCTGGCTGTCATCCAGTACTTGCCCTCTTCTTGGGCATTCCCTTGGAGGCTTGGATTCCAGGGTCCCAGGGCCCTGGGTTGTCTTCCTTGCATAATAGTTAACCTGGGAATAGAATTCTAATTGAGGAAAAAAGTTTCCCTCAGAATGTGGTGTTTCATCCTTGTTCTAGAGAAATCCAAGGCTTGTTCTAGAGAAATCCAAGGCTTCTGTGATGCTGGAATCTCTTGGTTTTCTCTGGCTGCTTTTAAGATAATCTTTTTAAGTCCTGACACTTTAAAGCTTTACAAGCTCAACTTGTTTTGGAAGTGGGAGTGTCACTCGCTTGCTTCCCCCAGATTATAACTGCCAAGAGCAGCTGTGGGAACCTAGAGGCGTTATGTTCCTTCCCTGCCTTTTGGTAGAACGATTATTTCTTGAGTGCTCTTAGCAACCCTGTTCTAGGAACTGGTGGTGGAGGGATGAATGGGACACCTGATGGCTGTCCCTGGGGTGCTGGCCTTGTCATGGAGGCACAGAGAAAGCACCCATGAACATGAACCGCTTCTGCCTGGTCAGGAGAGTTAGGCAGAAAGTGAAGTGGCCGGGCCTGTGGTTTGGCCTTGAACCTGGACAGGAGCTACTTTCCGTTGGCTGGCAAGGGGACAGCCCACCAAGGGAGGAAGCTTTTAACAAGGACACCTGCAAACATGTTCTAAGCAGAGAAAGTAGCAGGTCCCACACCGAGGTGAACCATATTCAAGGTTGAGTAGAGATCCCTGGGTACCTGAAGCAGCTGGGCTGCCAGAGCTGCCCGTGCTGTAAGGAGGGAATTCTGCGGCCTTTGGGAGAAAGAGATGAGCAAGAGCAGACTCAGGAAGGCCAAGAGGGAGGGCATCACAGGCTCAGGAAGGAGTCTAAGCAGGCCCAGCTCTTTACCTCCTGGCCTTGTTGTCAGGGACAAGGCTCTGAGGAGGTATGAAAGGTGGCCAGCCTGCAAGGCCCCCTGAGCCTGGCAGATGTGGGAGGGAGAGGTGGAGTGTGCTGTTCAGGATGGGCTGAGCATTGTGTCTCCTTCCCTCAGGGTCCGATGGCTGAAAAATCCCAGGCCAATGCTCCCAAAGCCAGGAGCCCCAGCAGCATCTCCAATGGCAAGGCCATGTCTCAAGGACAGTGGGGCCGGGCCTGGTAAGGATCTCCCCTTTCTCCCAGCTAGAAGGTAAAGCAGGTCTTAGATGCTAACCTGGGGAGGGAGGTTGTGGTCAGCATTAGAAACATTTCAGGTTGTCTCCCATTACCTGAAATGTTTGGGACCACAAGTGCTTCAGATTTCTTTGTATGTTGGATCTTGGGGAAGGATCCAAGTCTAAGCAGGAAACTCATTTATAACTCATTTATTCATAAGCACCTTATTACACATAGCCTGAAGGTAACTTGGTGCAGTTTCTTAGATATCCTGTGTTTTGAATGCAACTCATCAGAGGTGGGACTTTCCACCTGTGGCGTCATGTTGGTGTTCTAAAAGTTTCAGAGATGTGGAGCTAGGGATGTTCTCCTTGGAGTGTGGAGAGGATTTAGACTTCACTGGCTGAGATAGCCTTGCCCCAGGGGTCCTGTGATGGTGTCATGATTCTCACTCTGCGCTTGAGTGACGTCAGCACTTGTGGGTTGAATATCCTGCTTGGCCCGGGACTGGGGAAGCTGCTGGCCTCTGTGGTCATGTCCTGGGCTTTCCACAGTGGCCACAGATCTGTCACCTGCTGATGAGCACCTGAGACTTCCTGCGCCTGAGGACTTTGTTCTCAGAGCTGCCAGCCTTCTCTTGAGGTGCTGGCTGGTTTGATTGATGGGTCCCCACGCAAGGGCATCTCAGAGTCCCCGGTGAGGTATGAGGAATGGTGACCACCTGTCTTCTTCTTCCCAGGGAGGTGGACTGGTTTTCCCTGGCGAGCATCATTTTCCTGCTGGCCTTCGCACCCTTCATTGTGTACTATTTCATCATGGCGTGTGACCAGTACAGCTGTTCCTTGATGGCCCCTGTGGTGGACATCGCCTCTGGGCATGCTCGACTCGCAGACATCTGGGCCAAAACGCCCCCTGTGACAGCAAAAGCTGCCCAACTCTATGCCTCGTGGGTCACCTTCCAGGTCAGCCCCCTGCCCTTGGTATCAGGGAGCAGTTGGGGTGGGGGCAGGGCACCCCTCTGCCACCATCGGCCTTGTTTCTGTGTAAGGCTTAGGATCGTGTCTAGGGTTAATGACCACCACTGCCCCAGCAGGGTAACACCTGGAGTCAGACACACTTAGTGTCATTACCTAACATGGGGCAGGAAGCTCCTGTCTGTCCGCATCACGGAGTATCTGACACAGCTCGGTGGGCACCTTGCTGTAGCTTAGGGGTACAGCAGAGTGTGCCCAGCTTTGTAGTGACGTGGTAAGCACAGGGATCAAGGCAGCATGGGGACTGGGGGTTAGCCGAGTATGCAGCTGGAATCCCATCTCATACTGGCCTTAGGGAAGGAGCATCCCAGTTGCCCAGGGACCCTCGGAGTGCAGGAAATCCCACTTGGCAAAGTCAAGGCCTGCGTTTCCCAACAGGTTAGGAAACAATTCTGGTTGAGGGCATCCTTGGCTCTGTTGTGAACCCTCCCTCTGGCCTCACAATCCAGGAGGTCACCAGGAAGGGGTGGCATTTACAATGTTTACAATGGGCCTGGTGGACACAGTTGTTGCTCTGAGTCTGAAGCCAGGACAGGGTTGCCAGGGAAACTGTGTGCAAAGAAGGCAGGCCAGGCTGCCCTTCCCTGGAGGGAGCTGTGCCCCCAGAGTTGTGTTTCTCCCCAGGGCTCAAGCTTTAGTTAGGGCTTTAGAGCCCCTCTCCTTTCAAGTCCCCTTGTCCTTTGGGTAAGAAATCATAGGGCCAAAAAAGCAGAAACAACTCATGCTACAACGTGGATGGATGTTGAAAGTGCTGTGCTGTGCTGAGTGAAAGAAGCCAGTCCCATGTCTTGTTCCTAGGGGCTAAGGATGTCACTTGGCAGCCTGTGCTGTCTAGCATACAACCCCAGGAGTTTTTCAGCCCTGACTGCCAGCAGTATGCAGTTAGAGAGACCCTGCTCTAAAGCAATCTAGGGTTAAATGACATTTTTGTCTTTCAAGTTTTACTAGTGAAAACTTAATTGACCTGTAGCAGATAGTTATTTTGCATTTAAAAAATTCTTTAGTGGAGTGATTTACATTAGAGTTTATTTTGCTTGACTTTATTTTGGTAGAATAATTGCCAGGTGTTCCATAGTTACATATGAGACTGTAAAGTGCAATGTCACATGTGACAACAGCTAAATGGGATCTATGTGACTTTTACCTAGAGACAGAGACAAATACCTCAAATTCTTTCAAAGACAAACAACCAAGCAAAGCCAATTGCCAAAGACCACACGTTACCTGATTGCATTTAGGTGAACTATGCAGAATAGCCAAATCCACAGAGATGAGAAGGTCTGTGGTTGCCAGGGGCCGGGGGAGAGAAATAAGGGGTGCTGCCAGTGGGAAAGGGGTTCCCTTTGCAAGTAACAAGAACGTTCTGGAATTGATAGCAGTGATGGCTGCCCAATCTGTGACTGGTAAATTCCACTGAATTGTACACGTTAAGAGGGTGGGCTTTACAGCATATGAATTGTGTCTCACTTGTTAAAATGGCCTTCCCAAAAGGGCTTGGGAAGGACCAGTGTGCTCTCTGCGGGGAGCTCCAAAGGCATGGTCGGGAGGAGACTTTTGTGCTTTGGGTGGTAAATGAGTGTCCTGTTGAGGAATCCCTTCATCTACCTCAGACAGCTCCCAGGAGCTATAAGCAATTGTTGGTTGAAACACTGGTGTGTGAGGCCCTGTCACAGTGTCTCTCAATCACACTCTGCCCACAAAACCAGGCTGCGTAGAAACACACACATCTGTGACCTGCAGGCTGCCAGTCATTTTTCCTAAAATTCTGTTTCAGGTTCTTCTGTACATGTGGCTTCCTGACTTCTGCCACAGATTTCTGCCAGGCTACGTAGGAGGAGTTCAAGAGGGGGCCGTGACTCCAGCAGGTAACCTGTACCTGGCCTCATGGTCAGGCTGAAGGGTGATGGCCACCATCTGCCCTGTTCCCCCAGGTCCTAGGCCTGCCCTCCCCATGTTGTGTCCATCCAAAGGCAGCTCACGAGATGAAATGAATGTAGCATGGATTTTTTTCACACCACCAAACCTCAGGGTGCCAGAGGGCAGCTGGGCTGTGCAGACTCTCATCAGAGGGAACCGTCTGGCCCAGGTTCTTCCCCAGTCCCACTCTGGGTAAATGGTGCAGTCTCCTGACCCTAACCCTAATCATAGTCCTTGGGCAGCTTCGAGCAGTCATACGTCATCTTCGAGGAGCCTGGCTTCATGAGCACATGGGGTACAGGCTGGAATCCCATTCCCTCTCCCCTGCAGAGCTCCCCCTCTAGTGGGGACTGAGGTGTTTTTGGAAATCAACAGATACCTGGAACACCATACCGTGTCCTCACTCCACTTCTGCCACCACTCATTCTGACCTCAGTCTGCACAAACTGTAGCTCATAGCTGGGGCTGTGAGGGTCAAGGAGGATGAGAGCCAGAGGAACAGAGCCACCCCTCCTTCTCTGAGGATGTGGCAGTAGCAGTTGGTTCCTCTAACAGGGTACAGCAGGTCTTGTGGCCTGTCAGCTGGAGTGCAGCAGAGATTGACCACTTTTTCCAAGATGGCGCCCTGGATGGGGGTCTGTGGCAATGGCTAGGGAGCAAGGGGAACTTCAGTCAGCATCCAGCAGGAAAATGCTCTGACTTTTCAATCCTCCCTCTGCAGGAGTTGTGAACAAGTATGAGGTCAATGGCCTACAAGCCTGGCTCATCACACATCTTCTCTGGTTTGCAAACGCACACCTCCTGTCTTGGTTTTCTCCCACCATCATCTTCGACAACTGGATACCATTGCTGTGGTGTGCCAACATCCTCGGCTACGCTGTGTCCACGTTTGCAATGATCAAGGGCTACTTTTTCCCCACTAATGCAGAAGACTGGTATGTTCCTTAGCAGCTGGTCACGCCTGAGTAGAAAGGGGTGCCTCCACGCCTTGACTGTCTGCTACCTTGGGATAGGAGACTGCTGAGCCTTGAGGAGTGAGGCCCCGTGGAGAGGTGGATGAGCTCTTTTGACTCTGGGGAATATCCTTTCTAAATGCCTGGTGGTTTGTTCTCCCTTAGGAAGGGTGCTGAAGGCAGCCAAGTCATAACCTATAGGGTATCATGGGAGCTGGGAGCAGGTAAGCCAGAAAGACAACTTCTGGCTGGGAGCAAAGGTGACCCATTGCCTCTTTCTTTGAGCTATCTATTGTAGTCTGAGATAATCTTAACGCAGAGTCTTGTTATCTCAGTGGCTTCAACATAACTGCTTCCCAAGAGAGCCCTGCCGGTTAGGGCCCATTCTTATGGAAGCCTTAGGTTGGACAGTGGTCAACCAGCAATCCAATCCAATCCCATCCCAGCTGTCTACCCACCTACCTTCAATCTATCCATCCATCAATCCATCAATCCATCCATCCATCAATCCATCCACCCATCCATCCATCCATTGGCCATCAGCCATCCATCTGTTACATCACTAACAGATACTTGGTGGGTTTTTTTTGTAAACACTTGTAGGCAGTGAGCTTACTTGCCCTGGGGGGGTGTGCATGTCCCAAGTCCCCTTCACACCACATGTTTGGGTTTCAGATTGAAATCTTGGTTTTGCTCCCGTGCTTGTATCTAGGGTACCTGGAGTTGGTGAGGAGAGATCTCACCTCTGACCTTCCTAGGGTACAGCAGCAGTGTGCATGCTCCTGTCTTCAGGTGTCTGCAAAGCCCAGCTTCCTCGGAGTGGGAGTAAACAAGGGCCAGGATCTGTGGCAGGATCTCTGCATCCTCTCTAACCTGCTAGCACTTGGCTCTGCTGAGAATTGTGTCCTGAGGCCAGATAGGCTGCAAGTCTTCAGATGCACTGGTCAAAATGATCTTTTGTTTATATTTTTAAGCAAATTCACCGGCAACTTCTTTTACAACTACATGATGGGCATTGAGTTTAACCCCCGAATTGGGAAGTGGTTTGACTTCAAGCTGTTCTTCAATGGACGCCCTGGAATTGTTGCCTGGACCCTCATCAACCTGTCATTTGCAGCTAAGCAGCAGGAACTCCACGGCCACGTGACCAACTCCATGGTCTTGGTCAATGTCCTGCAGGTAAAGTTTGTCTGTGGCCCTGACACCTGTTGTCCTGTGGGACAGCATGAAGTCAGAGTCCCACCCTTCATTCCACTACTTTTCAAAGAGTGCCAGCCCCTGGAGGGGATGAGGCAGGTGCCAGGCCATCTAGCCTGGTCCAGGGAGGGCTCTCTTGGGTATTTCACTTAGATGGGACCTGGGGGGCCGACGGCGGTTAGTCAAGTAAAGAAGGAAGGAAAGGGAGGGTGCAGATGCCCCAGGCAGAAGGTGTGGCCTGTGCAGAGTCCCTTAATGGGGAAGATGGTGAGGCCGGGACTGAGGGAGGTCTGTGTCCTGAGCAGAGAGTTTGGGAGCTCAGAGCCAGGCCAGGCTAGAGACCAACGGGAGCCACATCACGAAGTTTTCATCCTTATGTTAAAAGTGGTGAGTGCTTGAGAGGTGAGGCTGCGGGATCACGAGTTTGAGGCCAGCTTCGGCTCCCCAGTGAGACCCTACCTCAAAAACGAAACAAAATCTGAGACCCTGGAAGTGTGTGCCAAGCAGAGATAGGGGGTGCATGGATCAGATGTGTCCAAAAGTGTCACCAGCTGCTGAGGGAGGACACTTGGTCAGGCCCAAGGGATGAAAGAGGCCAGTAGGCAGGAGGTCATGAACACAGCTTGGGTGGGTGGACTAGGTGCTGGCCTGGGGCTGACCACAAGGCAGATCTGGGTGTGGTGAGCCCATGCCTGCCATCAGCTCTGGTAAGGACTTGAGCTGGTGAAAATACCCAGAGCCATGACCTCCAGGAGACTCATGTTCCAGTGCACGAGGAAGAGTAGTCACTGCATGGCCTTTGAAGTCCTCTGTGTGGCTGTGCCAGGGAGAAGGATAGGAGCTGACTGTGTTTTGGGAGTCCTGGGTGCCTCAGATTCTCTAGGCCAGCCCCCTGGTGCAGCAGAGGCACAAGAAGCTGAGACTGCATAGGGGTCTTGTGCTGGGAGCTGCCCTCGTTGGAAGGGACAGCACACATGTGCTTCTTGGACACTTTTGGCCCAGGCAATGCTTTGTTAGCACCCAAGCACATTCATGGTGGATCCTGGAGTCTCTGGAAGGCCCCACTCATGGTCCCTGCTAGGCCTCTGCAGCATCTTTCCACATGGTCCCCGAGAGTCTCAGCTGGTCCCCTTAGGGTGTGATTCACTTTCGCCTCCTGTCCATCTCTGTGAATGGACATTGGTCCTACCCCTGGGGAGTCATGACAATCACCGTCCATATGGCCACCTCATGTGTGTCATGGTACTGAGGAGCAGTAGAGGGGGACAAACTCTCAGTCACCCACAGGGTCCACGCTGCTGTGGACATTCGCCTCCCTGGGGACTGTCCCCACGGCCTTCCACCCTGAGCCACCTCTGCTCTGAGCTCCACAGCTGTGGGTGTCACCTCCCATGGCCACTGCGGGAAGCCCTTTCTGATCTTTTGTGCCCGTCCTTGTCCTCTGCTGGACTCAGACTCTGAAGCCAGGGACTCCCCTCCCCACCCACATGTCCCCAGCCAGGCAGAGGCGAAGGAGCAGCCCAGTGGTGTCCATCCAGAAACTCACTTGGCAGCAGCTCAGGTGCCATCTGTGTGTGCAGGAGTCCATCCTCCTTGGTCCCTGTCCCAGAGGCGTGTGCATAGGTTTGTGCAAATGCAAAGGTTAGTAAACCGTCCCTGTGTCACAGGCCATCTACGTACTGGACTTCTTCTGGAATGAGACCTGGTACCTGAAAACCATGGACATCTGCCACGACCACTTTGGGTGGTACCTGGGCTGGGGAGACTGTGTCTGGCTGCCCTACCTTTATACTCTGCAGGTGAGGAGGGGGCAGGTGGCGGGCAGCGAGCCCCTCTGGGACACGGGGTCCCTGTGGTGGGCATTTGGCTGTACAGTCCTCAAACCCCTGGGGCTGACCTTGAGCAGACTCCACACCACATGCTAAGCTCTGTCCTTGGGGGGCATTGAAGCTGTCCCTTCTTCTAGAAAGAAGGGAACACCCATGTGATATAAGTGCTCCCCTTACTTATTTATGTCCCAGTAAACCCACCATACACTGAAACCACCAGAGGCTGGAAAGGCATGTGATCCACCCCAAACATAACTTACCCTAACATGCCTAAATGGACAGGTGCCTGCAGGTGGGCAAAACCACCTGTAAGACAGGAGTGCTGACTGTTTAGTGTGACATGTTGAGTACCGCTCTGACGGGAACAGCAGAATGGCTGTATGGGAACACTTGAACACTCAACTCATGAGTGGAGCTGTGTCAGTCAGGGACCATCTGTAGTTGGCTTTGTGTGTCAGAGGGACCTGGGCTTGTCCCCTGGTGGAGCCATCAGCCCAGAGAAGTGGCTGTGAGTTTGTGCCCCATCCTGCAAAGTCAGGGCGGATACCTGCTTGGTCAGGCTGGATGGAGCCATCCGGGCAGCCGGTGATGACTCATGGCTGGGTGGGACCTCCTCATTTTTGTGCCCAGGATGCACCAGCACCATGGTGGTGATCTGGTCATCAGCCCCCTCTGCTCACATGAGAGTAGGGCTGGGAGCTGGGGACCTGCCCTGGGGCTGTGCAGGAGTGGAGAGGATCAGCGTGAAAGGCCGTCAGCTCAGGGCACACACCAGTGAGGTGAGCATATTATAGCTGGTCACACTGATGACAGTGATACAAGCTGGGGAAACAGTGTGGCCACCTGCATGAGGGGGCCATCTGCATGAGGGCCTGGGGAAAGGAGAAAGCAGCTGCTTCCAGCAGAGAGCAGGGTGAGGCACAGGGGCCTGGGCATCAGTCCCACACTCATGCTAACTGCAGGTCCTCAGGGGCCCCCAGCAGCCTGGCCTGGCTACAGTTCACTGGGCCTCTGATTATGTCCCACTAGTACCAAGCCTTGTTCTAGCCTCAGTATGTGAGGCTTCCATGGACCAACTAACCATGGATTGAAATATTTTTTAAAAATCGCATCTGTACTGAACATATACGGACTTTTTCTTGTCATTATTTCCTAAGCGATGTACTGTAAGGACTATTTGTGTAGCATTGCAGTGCGTGTGGTCTTAGGCAGATAATTAGGCACTCTGTTATATAGGTACAGTATGGATAATTAGATACCCAAAATCTGAAGCTGATTTAAAGGTATACAGGAGGTGTGCACAGGTTAGGTGCAAGTGCCATGCCATTTTATATAAGGGACTTGAGCATCCACAGGTTCTGGTATCCTTTAGAGGGGGCCTGGAACCCTTCCTCTGATGCCAAGCGACAACTATACATTGTGTGTATATGTATGTGTGTATATGTGTATGTGCACGTGAGTGTATATATGTTTATGTGTACACACACACATTCTTTCGTACTATATTTGTATCAGCACTTCCCAGAAGAATAGTCAACAGGAGGGCTGTATATGTGTGTGACTGTGAGAGTGTAGTTTTTGGCTTAGGTGATGGGGCTCTTAGCAGGCCCTAAATCTTAAGGGTGGGCTGGAAACCAGGAAAGAGTTGATGCTGCAAACCCCATTGAAAAACCACCTGCTGCCAGAATCCCCTCTTCTTTAGGGGAATCAGGGGAGTCTTTTCTTCTTTTCTTTTCTTTTAAGGCTGTTAACTGATCAAATGTGGACCTCCCATTGTACAGAGGGTCATGTGCTTTACTCAGTCTGTTGATTTAGGTGTTAATCTCATTTATAGGAAATACCTTGTCAACAACGAATGTTTGACCAAATGTCTGGGTACAATGACCTACCCAAGTTGACAGGTAAAACTGGCCATCACGACACAGTATTCAAATTCTATTTTCAGATGTTAAGTATTTCACATTTATGCTCTGTGTGATATACAGACAATCCCTGACTTACGATGGTTCAGCTTCACAGCTTATGATGATTTCCAAGTGGTGCATTCAGGGCAAACGATGCTCCGTATTTTCAGGGTTCACGTTTCCCAGGCTGACACTCTGATGTGCAGAATGGGCCTCTTTCTTCCCACTGGGTCTGCAGCAGCCGCCACTCCCAGTCAGCTGTGTGGTCACAGTAGCTGACCTTGGAGTCTCCTGTGTGCTGTGTGACTTAGCTGGGATGTTCCGTGTACTGTGTACTATTTTTTGAACTTCCAGCAGGGTTATTAGGACTTGGCCTGTGTGCTAGGTAGGCAGGTAGGTAGGCATATTTGCATGTTTACTCATCTGAGGCCCAAGCAACCCTCTGAGGCAGGTGTCTTGTTTGGTGGAAGGGGAAACTGAGTCAGGGCCAGGTCTGGCTTCCCAAGCCCTCACTCGAGACCATGGTCCACATTCTTCTCGCCCCACAGGGCCTGTACCTGGTCTATCACCCCGTGCATCTGTCCACGCCCCATGCCGTGGGCGTCCTGCTCCTAGGGCTTCTGGGTTACTACATCTTCCGGATGGCCAATCATCAGAAGGACCTGTTCCGCCGGACGGATGGACGCTGCCTCATCTGGGGCAAGAAACCTAAGGCCATCGAGTGTGTGTACATGTCGGCCGACGGGCAAAAGCACCACAGCAAGCTGCTGGTGGCGGGCTTCTGGGGCATAGCCCGCCACCTCAACTACACGGGTGACCTCATGGGCAGCCTGGCCTACTGCCTGGCCTGCGGCGGGGGCCACCTGCTGCCGTACTTCTACATCATCTACATGACCATCCTGCTGACCCACCGCTGCCTGCGGGATGAGCACCGCTGTGCCAACAAGTACGGCCGCGACTGGGAGCGCTACACTGCTGCCGTGCCCTATCGCCTGCTGCCCGGGGTCTTCTGAGCATCCCAGAACCCCTTGCAGGAGCCTCAGTTTCCTCGTCTGTTAGATGGGAAGAGCTGGCACTTGGTGTGCGTCCCGTTGGATGTACAGGAGAGGTTGCACAGGTCAGGTGCTCTTTACTTTCCCTTGCCCCGAGGGGACTGATTTTGCACCAGCTGCCTCCTCACCAGCAGAAGTGACTGATTTTCTCTGCAGTGCCCCACAGGCAGGAGGACAACTTGGTCACCTCAGTAGTCCTTTGATAACTGTTTCTTCATGTTGAGAGCCCAGCCTGTACACTGCCCAGATGAGCATTTGACGCTTTTCAGGCCATGTTCCGACTCCTTGTGTTTAGGCTTGCACTGATTCCTACTAAGTAAAAGTCACAGTGGGATCTATAGGGTGTGCTAGCCATCCAAGCCCGTGCTTCCTCATCTGCTTGGTGATAGTGGACTGCGCCACACCCCCCCCCCCCAACACCAGTTTCTCCTCTGTGGTGTATGCAGGGTCGATTGGCCAGCAGAGGGTGCTGAGGGGCATTGGGGGAGGAAGACACTTGGTTCTGGGGCTTCTCTTTTGTTTTTTTCTTGTTCCTAACCCATGGTTGCCAGGGGTGTGGCCTGGGGACATCCAAATGTGCAGGCCTCAGCCGAGGTCTTTTGGGACAAAAGTCAGGGGTCTCCCAGTGCCCAACTCTCTGCATCTGCCAGCTGTCTTGGCTCCCTGCCCCCTGGAAGGAGTTCCTGATTGCCCCAAGAACATGGACCAGGCACCTTAGGGGATGTCACCATCTGGGGTTTCAGCCACCCCTTCCCCAACAGGAGTTCCTCCTGAGGAGGAGGCCCCTTTTCCAGCATTCTCTCACCAGGGGCACTGTCTCCCAACCTCAGGGTAGTTTGTAAACAAACTCCTTTTAGACACGATTCCCCTAGCATAGCTAATAATTCTTTATATTAAACTTCCACAGTTCAGGTGATTATGGTGTGCTTTTTGCCTCCTGAGTGGGCCTGACTGGTACATGAAGAAGGCTGTTTTGGGGGTGCTTGGGAGCAGCATCAAAGCTTCGGATCCTACCAGGAATCTGGGTTCATCATGTCCCCTGTACCTGCGTCAGTGCTGTGCTGTTGGAGGTGGGGAGTCCATTGCATTTAACAAAACAAGGAAACCCAGCTAGGCCACTTGCCCCACAAACAAATGAGGATGAGGCAATAGATGAGCAGTGGCCACTGCCCAGGGCAGCATCTCACTCACTTTGAGTTATGGTTGGAGAGAGCTCTGGCCCCAGGCTGATGTAAGCCTCAGGTTTGGTGCTCTGCCCTGCCCATCTGAGAATATGGAGCCGAGGGTCATCCTCCAGCACCTCCTTTTCTTCCCAGACGTTGAGAAAATGTGACCTCAGATTCTGGGCCCCATCGCTCACATCAGTATCACCCTTGCCATTTAAAAGCTGTGTGGCTTTGAGCAGGTGACCCAGTCTTGCTGCAAGAAGGGCTTCCCAGACTCACTTGGAGGGAGGGGCCTGGGTTCAAGTGTTGGGTGTGCCTCTGACCATTGTTCAAGGTTCTTTTTTGGGTGTTTTTGGCCTCTCTGAGCCAGGCTTGGCTCACCTGTGTGCTGTGCCCTTGCACGGTGTGCTCAGTGAACACAAGGCCCTTGGGGCTGCTTCTCCCTTGGCCACAAACCCGTTTGCCCTGCTTATGGCAGGTGAAGCTGCCTCCTCACTCTGTGGGAGGACTGGAGAAGTCAGGCAGTACAGGAAGGTAGACTCTTCTAGCCTCTGCTCTGTAGAACAGTTCTCAGGAAGGTCACAGCCCCAGGCTGTGGGGAAAGCAGCCTGGCCCTCTGCTCCCTTCCAAAGTCCACCCCATCACAGGGCCAGCTGGACTGTGCTCCGTGGGGAGGCGCTGCTCTCTGACAAAGGTCTCTGTCCTTTCTGCACTGTACAGCCTAGGATGGAGTGTGCAGGATCCTATTCGAAAATAGGACCCCCTCCCCTGCCTCGGCCTTGTCAAACAAGTCAGCCCAGAGCCCACCTGTTGGCTCCAGCAATAGGCCACACCCTAAACCTGCCTCTTGTTTTGCACAACACCTGCCTCACCCTGAGCGAGCCTGGCAGTATAGCTGATCGTCTCAGGAGACTGAGGCTGCAGTTTGAAACAACTCACCCCAAATGCCACAACTAGCAAGTGTGAGAGGCTAAGTTCAAATCCAGGCATCTTCTGTCTTCATTCCAATCCTGCTGCAAGGGCACAGGGTTTCCTTAGACGGGGTACATTTTTGAGACCTGTGGTTACCACACATGGCAAGAGCAGCTGAGAACATGGAAGCTAGCAGATAAGTAATAGTGGTGTCCTCCATGGCTGCTGTGTCTGACTTAAGAGTCACCCCTGCCTTCCAGCCTGCCCAGGAAGCTACAGTGGGCTGAGCCTCAGGAGAAGGAGTGCTGCAAGTTGAAAACCCAATCCAAGGTCGAGTGGTCTTTGCATTTGTGGGGGAGGTTGGCTGGGCCTAGGGTGCTGGAACAGAACCAATGGGAACTTGTTTTCCATCCAGCACTCTTTTCTATGTTAATTTCTTAAATAAGTGATATGTCCAGTGATCACACTCTTGTATGTCTGTCCCAGAGCAATGAGCTCCCATGATCACACAAAAGCCTGCTGTGGATATCCACAGTGGCTTTTATTGAAACGACCCAGACATGTTTCAGTGGGTGACTGGATGTCCCCCTTCACACCTCTACTCTGCATAGCAAGGAACAAACCCCCAAACCATACAGAAGCTGCTTTAGGGAATTCTGTTGAGAAGACAAATCCTTAAAGGATTTGTGTCTGGTGACCCAACTCTAAAATTCCCAAAATGTCAGAATCCTAGGGCTGCAGTGCCAGTCTGAGGTAGCCTGGAGTGAGGATCGGGTGGGGTGGGAGGAAGAGTGAGGGATCTTCAGAAATGAAGGGTCCTGAGGTGAAGCAGCTGTTCTGTAGGGTGGCTGTGGTAGTGCGGGGTCAGCACCCCTGCCCCTGTGGCACATTTGCCTAGGGCTGTGCGTGTGCACCCAGTACGCCTATCCTGTTGAGGCTGCTGGCTGGAACAATGTCTGCACTCTGGTTGTGATTTTGTTCTTCACTGTCTCCAAGGATGGGAGCCTGAGATCTCTGCAGTGTTTAGTGCAAGTGTGTGCAGCTCCCCTCAGCCTTAAAAGTGCAACCAGAAGGTTCATGGCCTCTCTTAGCCCAGGGCTGACCAGCTCCCCACCCCACTACCCACAGTTACCACAATCTTGCATATGCTGCCTACAGCAGTGGATTTGAGCCTCTGAGTGAATCTGTGTTTTTGGAAACACTTTCCTCTCTTGAAAATACACCTCATCGTTCCATATCAATGAATTGCCCTGTTCTTTTTCAGAGCTTCATAATTTTCCACTGTGCAGATGCACATCGCCAGTCCCCTGTTGGTTTCTGTAACTTGTACCCATTTTTTCAGTCGTTTGCACACAGCACTGTAATGCATAGCCTTGGGCAGCTGTGGAGACATTCCTGGTAGTGGGATGCTGGTTGTAGGATTCATCACATCTGGGCCCAGTGTACTCCAAAGTGCAGTGGTTGTGGTTACCCCAGTGAACTGGTTGTATCCCAGCACAGGTGGCTCTGCAACACAAGTCTTAGTGGAAAAGCACTATGTTACATCAGTGTCAGGTAGCAGAGCTGCAACCTAGTCTGAAAATCAGCTCTGTGTCCAAGGACTCCACTCAGGACAGAGCAGAGTAGGCAAATTCAGTTAAAATCAGAAATGGATCTTTCAAAGTTGGGCTTGGTGGTACACAGCTGTAATCCCAGCACTCAGGAGGTGGAGGCAGGAGGATCAGGAGTGTGAAGCCAGCCTGGAGTACATAGGGAGACTCAAAGCAAGAACACCACCAACAAAAACAAAACCAACAAGGACTGAAATAGATACTTCAATGACTGCCCAGAGCCCACGGCCTTCTGTGTGCTCCTGGACAGTAAGAGTTAAGCCAAACACCAAAACCCGGTCCCTGATGAGAGCCTCCCCTGTGGCTGACTGTGGTAAATGGCTGTATCTGAGGTCCCTCTCAAGGGCCCTAGCTTTGGAGAGACTCAGCATCAGGAATTCCAACCTGGCTGGAGCAGAGGTGTTGCCCTGGGCAGGGACATGGGAGACCAGCATATTCTGTCCCCTTGTGAGCATGGAAGGCTGACCCGGCGAAGGAAGCCAAGAAGGGTCCTGGGCCAGGGAGCAGTGCGGTAGCCACACACTTGGCTCCATACCAGACCCGGCTGAGAGGCCAGGCCTGGAGGGAAGAGGAGGAGGCGGCATGGCCTGACGAAACTGCTCTCAGTGGGGCTTTGCCTCGGGGGAGGACACGAAGGGCTGTTTCCAAGCCAAACAAGAACAGGATCTTCTCCTGATTTGGGCCAGACTCAGCAGAGTGAGGCCAGAAGGGGTTGTTCATAGCCAGTTTATCATGTGTGACACACCGTGCAGGCCTTGGGCCGAAGGACACAGATCCAGGGCACAGAGCCTCCCACACATGGCTCTGTAGGCAGCCTGGGAAGGACAGGCTGTGTGTGAACTCATGTGAAGTCCCTGCCCCACAGATGTACCGGGACTGGCATGGATCTTGGCAGAAGGTGTGCCAGGCAGGCTTGTGTTTCTGTGGCTGGAAGCTCAGGCCAACCCCAATGCAAACACTTTTCCTCCCCAGGAAAGGTTAGGAGGGCAAAAGAGAAGCCACCCCATGCTGGGAAGGAGCACCTGGCAGAGTTAGTGGCACCTACCCCGGAGCAGCAATTGGTCTTCGCCTTCTTAGGCCTCCTGGCCTCTCCCTGAGGGAGGCTGCAAGCTTGACCAAGTTCAGTTCCAGGCTATCAAAGACTTGCTTTTCCAAGTGAGGGACCACCAGGCATCTCTGGAGTTGTCTCCTGAGGGGCTCCCAACCCCAACCTATGAGGGGTCTTGTGTTTTCCAGTTCCCTCCTCGGGAGGAAGGGCGTAGTCCCTGCCCAGGAATGGACACATGGAAGCGTTGCACACAGTCCTTAGCGCACGCAGCAAATGGAGTGGAGAGGTTACGTTGGCTTTCAGAACTCAGTCAGTGGGCATCAGAACAGGAGCCAGAGGCAGAACAAAGAAAGCCCATGACTGTTTTCCCATGAACTGCTATGAGCGTGTTACCTCACGGTCTCACTTCCAGTCCTTGCCAGTAGTCAGGGCACACCAGGCTGGGCACGTGATTGTGGGATGTTGGCTTGGTGACCTGCAGCCTTCATCACAGCCTCCCTTGGAGGAGAGAAGGTGGAGAGGAAGGAGATGCATGGGAAGGGGCAAAAGGAACAAATGACACAGCCAGACGCATGTGGCCAACTTGCTTCCTGGGAGCACACCGAGGCCTCGCCCTTGCTGCCTGTTCTGTAGTTCTTATAAAGCGAGGGACAGAAAAGGGAAAAGAAATGCCGTGGAGCTGAAACAATGCAAAAACTGAACAATAAGAGATGGTTTGCAGACACTGGGCAACACTGCAGGGCAGGAATCCCCAGGGAGGAGCCAGCCCGGGCAGGCCCGCTGCTGTTGCAGCCCTCTGACAGTTGCTGTGGTCACGTAGATGACAGTATCTCTGTAGGAAGCACAATTTGCCCAAACAAGCATAAGAAGAAATGGGAGCACTAACGACTGCATCTCTGAAAGCAACTGAACTCTTAGCTTTAAAATACGATGCGGACTCCCTGAGAGGATTGACGTGAATTCCATCAGTCTCTTAAAAGAAACAAGACTGATGTTACACAAATGATCTCATGCTGCAGAAAATGAGAGAACACTTCACATCTCATTTCAGGAGGCCAACCCAACACTTACAACAAAACCTGATGAGGAAATTTAAGAATCTTGTAATCCAGCCTCAGATACTAAATCCCCTTGATACTGTGTTGTAAAGCAATCAAACTCAATAATACTTCA